ACTGCAAGAGGGGAACCTCAGTGGTCTTCGAAGTCAGTGGTTTATTAACAGTGGCTGCATGGCATGGACATCAAAAGCGGCGCAAAAAAAAGAGCATAGCACAAAACTTAAAAGCATTGTAGAGACTGTTAGATCTGTCAGTTAGCCAAAAGCATCATCCACCAAATTCAGGGGCCATGCAAGGGTACTACAAGTGCTGCAACATACAACCTGCATACCTCCATGACAGAATTGTAGGAAAGAGAGATCAAAAGTAAGCACCTCTACTCTTCTTTTCATTTATGTATATGCGCAGGGACAGGGTAAAAAAAATAATTAAGATAAAATCAATTGCAACAGAGTTAATAATGTCCCCTAACTTCCCTGTGTTAGTAACTTTTACATCGTGTTCTGCAATACTATATCATCTAAAATAGCTGAACATGTGTTACCATTTTTTTTTTTCTGACGATTTCCTTGGCTATTTCTATGTTATCTACATTAGCTTAAAAACAAAACAAAAAAAACCCATAAATACAGAGCTGCACTAATTATCCTGCAATGCCCAATGTGTGTCCACATCCCATGAACTCCCAGTTTGAGATCAGATTTGTTTTATATATTAAAAAAATAGAAATGGCTTTAAGTCTCTAAAAATTTACGACATCATTTGGGTTCATAAAAAGTGTTAATCTCCCGCCATAGACATGAAGGTCTAGTCCTCTCTCTGAAAGGTATTATTTTATTTGTAAAGGTAATATTCTGTGACATCCAGAGTATGGAATTATTTTATTGCCAGTGTTGCTGCTACTTTGGAAAATGACTTGGCACAAACAATGCTTACATCAAGATACGCAAAATAACTGTATATCCCATTAAGCAGTGGCCTGCCGGGAATATTGTAGGAAAGAAACTGTTACTGATGCTAAGAACATGCTACAAAACCAGTACTTTTACAGTTTTTTAAAATAAGCAGAGTTAGAAGTTAGTTGCATGACTCTGGGCTACTTACTATGTGGATGCTACATTGATTCCTTCACCTAATGTGAGCTCTTTCACTGAACGTACTTCATGATGGCGCTGTGATGTCAGCACCACTTTCATGACATCAGTGCAGGCTCAAGGTTTAAAGGGATACTATAGGCATCAAAACAGCTTTAGTTTATTGAAGCAGTTAGGGTGTATAGATAATGTCCTTGTAGTGTCACTGCTCAATTATCTTCCTTTAGGTTGGCACGGCTCCATGTGAGATTACAACTTGGTTAAGACACAGTTCCTACCCTCAGCATTTCTAAATATCTAACTTGCTTTATGGAAGTTCCCTAAGAAGCTTCAAATAACATATCCAATCCAAATCCAGCACGATGATTTAAATCAATTAACACTTATGGACAAAGTGATTACAGACAGTCCACTTCCTGAAAACCTAGAGCTCAGGACTGCATTATAGTGGCACTGCCACCCCCATATTAAAAATGTGTATTTCGTAAAGATAGTATCTTTATGAAATATTCATTATGACTATGTTGGAATTTCACTGAAATTGCAATGCAGTCAAGAGATAGATATACACAGACAAAGTAGGAACTTCTACTTGTCTCTGTATTTCTTCACCGCCTGACACAAGGCAGAACCTATGTGTCAAGACCTGCAGCTGTGGCTGGGTCTATGAAGGATCCCGTATTGGCTGAGTCTATGGAAGATCCCGCGGGAATCCCCATACGCCTCAATGCTGTACTCTCGCACCTGAAGAGGAGCAGTGTGACCAAGGTGGCGCCTATGAGGGACAAGTTCAGGTAAGTAATCTCACCCTTACCTCCCCCCACGGCCCCCAGTGCCGCTTGTGAAAAATTTTTTTTTTCTTCTAATCTATATATTTGTTTTATGGGGTTGATTACAATAAAAAAAAAAAAAAAAAACCATATTTGCTTAATGGCTTTTTTACAAAATCCAAGATGGGGCTGCTAGTTATAGCATGAATTTTTTTTACCTTGTGTTATTTATCACAGTGACACAATTCTATTAGGTCAAATGGCCATATCCAAAAGTTAGAGACCGTATGAAGAAAAAGGACACAGCGCATACAAAACATTTATACCTGGATTAAGTCTGTATAACATTCTTATTATATTCCCAACTAAGGCCTTAGCTTTGTGTGAGGTACACATATATCCTTATGAGTGGATAGATTAATATACAGGGCTAGACACTAAAATGAGAATCACAGGGAATTCAAATTTAATATCCCTCTGCTGCAGGTGGTTTGAAAACAGATGGTTTGTTTGCAAACAACGCATTACATAGAAACGTATTTCAGACATACCAAAAACTGCATTATAAACAAAGGTTGAGAAAGAACAATTAAGCAACTGAAAGCTGGAGAGATTATACTGCATTTTTCTTTTATGAAAAGTTAATTTCGAATTCTCCATGGAATAAAGTAAGTGTTTTAACTCCTCCTGTCTTTTGACATAAAACCTGGATTCTTTTAGAACACCTTACCCTGCTACTGCGTATTACTGCCTACTTCTCTTGGAACAAGATGGAGATGAGAAGTGATTTAGTCTCCCTGGAAGAAATAAACTTTGAACAATAAAAGCCTATGACGGTATGCATAATGAGTGTGTAACAAATGTTTAAAAAGAACTGCGGTAAGAGTGGATTGCTCGCTTTAAATCTCATTATGATTTGTGAAACACAACATGAGATTTAACAAATAGTCTGTAAAATTGCGGTTGCACGGGAGGAAATTGTGTTTATACTCTCTTGCTAGCATTCATTTGTGAAGCCCTGGCATGTTCGAGCTTTGCTTTCAAATCTATTGATTTCTCAAAAAATCTCACAAGGGGAGGTTCGTTCAGTAATGATGCAAGGATCTGTTCAAAGGCGAAAGACCATTCAGTGCTTTCTTTGGAAGATTGTGGTATTATATTTTCAGCCTGAGGATCAGAGTCTTTGCCCTGAGTCTTATCTATAGATGCAGAGCATGTCTCCTCTGTTGGAATCTTGGTAGGTGAAGCAGGATTCTGCAGTCTTCTTCCAACTTCCTCCATCCGAAGAAGTAGGCTAGTTACAGCAGCAATGGACCGATACAGAAGCTCTTCTTCGGGATCTCCATGGAATAAGTTGTATAGGGTCTTTGAAAAGTGGATAAACTGGCTCTGTTGAGGAGAGTGGATAAAATAGGATTTGGTAAGCACTGATAAATAGGTGGTGTGAATAATCATAATCGGTATTTTAAAGGTGCACAAAAAATAACAGTCCCTAGGCTAGTAGGCACTGAATATACATAAAACAAATCTGCAAGTAATAATATATTATGCAGTGACTTACACAGACTGAAGGCAGCAAAAAGCCCTGCATTAATGAGATTGCAATTTGAAGCCAACAAGTTTCATCTTATATATAAAGCAGTTAGCAAAGATTTCATTTTCCAGGACATATTTTCTATAATCTTTTTCCTTCTTTGACATGTTTTACCATATGTGTAAACAGACATAATAATGGTAAGGCAACAAAGATGATTATCAAATATTAGAGGACGGATAGAGGGAAGAGGGTCTGATTTACCATTGAATTTCTTGAACAGAAAACCAAATGCAACACACTCTACATTCTAACAAAAAATAACTTCCAGACACTCTGTGAGACATTTTATGGTAATTTTCAGACCATGTCACTAATATTAGGTGAGATTAGAGAGAGTGTAAAGAAAGGATATACCTGTGTCAATCACACCCGAGGATATACCTGTGTCAGTCACACCATAGGATATACCTGTGTCAGTCACACTCTAGGATATACCTGTGTCAATCACACCCGAGGATATACCTGTGTCAGTCACACCCGAGGATATACCTGTGTCAGTCACACCCTAGGATATACCTGTGTCAGTCACACCCTAGGATATACCTGTGTCAGTCACACTCTAGGATATACCTGTGTCAATCACACCCGAGGATATACCTGTGTCAGTCACACCCGAGGATATACCTGTGTCAGTCACACCCTAGGATATACCTGTGTCAGTCACACTCTAGGATATACCTGTGTCAGTCACACCCGAGGATATACCTGTGTCAGTCACACCCTAATATATACCTGTGTCAATCACATCCTAGGATATACCTGTGTCAATCACACCCGAGGATATACCTGTGTCAGTCACACCCTGATATATACCTGTGTCAGTCACACCCTGATATATACCTGTGTCAATCACACCCTGATATATACCTGTGTCAATCACACCCTGGCATATACCTGTGTCAATCACACCCTGGCATATACCTGTGTCAATCACACCCTAGGATATACCTGTGTCAATCACACCCTAGGATATACCTGGGTCAATCACACCCTAGGATATACCTGGGTCAATCACACCCTAGGATATACCTGGGTCAATCACACCTTAGGATATACCTGGGTCAATCACACCCTAGGATATACCTGGGTCAATCACACCCTAGGATATACCTGGGTCAATCACACCCTAGGATATACCTGGGTCAATCACACCCTAGGATATACCTGGGTCAATCACACCGTAGGATATACCTGCGTCAATCACACCGTAGGATATACCTGCATCAATCACACCCTAGGATATACCTGTGTCAATCACACCCTAGGATATACCTGTGTCAGTCACACCCTGTTATATACCTGTGTCAATCACACCCTAGGATATACCTGGGTCAATCACACCCTAGGATATACCTGTGTCAATCACACCCTAGGATATACCTGTGTCAATCACACCCTAGGATATACCTGAGTCAATCACACCCTAGGATATACCTGAGTCAATCACACCCTAGGATATACCTGGGTCAATCACACCCTAGGATATACCTGGGTCAATCACACCCGAGGATATACCTGCGTCAATCACACCCTAGGATATACCTGGGTCAATCACACCCTAGCATATACCTGTGTCAATCACACCCTAGCATATACCTGTGTCAATCACACCCTAGGATATACCTGTGTCAGTCACACCCTAGGATATACATGTGTCAATCACACCCAAGGATATACCTGTGTCATTCACACCCTAGCATATACCTGTGTCAGTCACACCATAGGATCCCAGATTTGTTGCAGACAATATTTAGAGAAAGTTAAATCCAAAACAACAAACAAGTATAGACTCCCAAGTATAGGAAAAGCTTCCCCTTTCTGTACTAACTTGATTCATTCTCGGTAAATTCTTGATACTTTCTTCTTTACGCACTAGTTCATCTTGCCATTGCTTGAGATAAGCCTGAATATCAATCTTCACTCTGCCTGCAAAATGCAAGAAAAGTAGGAGAGAAGTAAATTTCAGGAAGTCAGATCCTACTTGTCCGTCACTACTTTAGTTATTTTATACAGAAAGGGGAAAAAGAGACTTTCCGCAGGTATGTTTAAATGTAGACAGTGACAGCCGTAATGAAAAAATTGTATTCAAAATCTAAGAACACTCAGCAATTGTGTCTCAATACTCCCCAGTATACATGCAGTAAGTCTACGCTTTTCACATTAACAAATATGCTTTGTCAAGACTCTATAAGGAAACGCAAAATAATATTACTAGCATTTATGTAGGAACAACATATCCTGCAGGAGTGAGGTGTCCCATTTCAAATTCAGTTCGGGGGACTTAAGAAAATATAGAGTAAGTGAGTTGGTCCTGTCAGCTGCAACTCTCTACATTTAAAAGGACACTAGAGGAACCAATACCACTGCATCTCAACAAAGTGTTCTGGGTGCCATGTTCTTGTAGTTTTTATTCCTGCAACTGAAAGCATTACCATTCTACAGAAACGACAATGTTTTAATTGTAATGGCCGTCACACTAATAGCCTTTACAGCTGCTTCTACCTCAGTAGCCGAGTTAAACTTGACTATTTTATCCAGATGGTCTCATAGCGACCAGCTGATTGGCAACGCGTTTTGCAACAAATGTGCACTAGCCTCGAAATGTTTCTCAAAGAGGAAACATTGGATCACCTACACTAATGATCACAGCCAAAGGCGTGGAGAATAGTGATTGCCACGATGAGGGTTGAAAGGTAAGTAAAACTCATCCTTCAAACCCTCATACAGCGGGGGACAGGGGAGACCACAATAAGTAGCAGGACACTATAGAATTCAGGATATATGTTTGTAGTCCTAATGCTATAGTTAGGACTGTGTTGATGCAGTGGGAATCTGAGCCAGTCACCTTTATACTATTCGAGTAATACCACTGCTTTAATAATTGTGCCTTCCCCACTAATTTTGACTTTGATATGCCAATGGCTTAAGTTATATTGCTTGAACATAGCATTACATTTACTGCATCATGCTCTCAAAAGTTATTCAAATGATTTCCAAAACAAACCTTTCTCAGGACTCTTGGTTTTGTCTTCAGCATTTGGATTTTCTGTAGGGGAGGTTACTGTTGAAGGGAAAAAAATATATATATTTAAAAATAGCATAACAGAATCACAATGAAGTTTAGCAGAAATACAATTACATGAATGATTCTAGCCATTCTCTATTTGATGTTAAAGGGAAACAATATAGTCAAAATTATTCTACAAACAGATCCTCCCTCAAAAGGAAGCAACACTCAAAAAAGGAGCATCTTATTCGGATCCTGGTTTACAAGATAACTGATTTATCCCCAGTAGAAGTTCCACTCATTACAAAGGATGAGTAGAACTGCTGTAAGCTGATAGCACCCATACTCACCTGTTCCACAGTTTTGTGAAATGTGTTGTGTGCATCAATTACCCCAGCCACCAGTTTGGGCTCTCTCTGGGAAGGAGAGAGAGAGAGAGAAAACCCTGCCCTCGTGTATACACAAGCTGTTGGACAAAATTGATCTTCCTAACCAAGAACTAGGATGAAAAAAATTACAACTGTCTGACAGTCAGATCTACAAACTCTTATCAAAGCGCATTATCTAGGAAAATAACGAGCCTTGACAGGTCAGACTGCATGGACAGGGTCTTTGCACCATAAAAATATTGAGCAAAATGCGCCCGAAAACTGTACAAATGTAAATACTTATTTTATGCAATAACTTAATAAATTATATAATACAAAATACCTGTTGCTTTAGAAGAAGTGAAATCAACTTAAAATAATATATGTTTCACTGACAGAAATCCGCCACTTGCAACATATTCAGTGCATTAGTAATCGGCCATAAACCCTGCAATTTGACATTGATTTTTTTCATCTTTAATGTCATTTTTATTCATTTCAATCAAGATTGAACAATTCATACAACAAAGGGGAAAAGTAGGAGTAAAGTTAGGATACATCAAAACTAAATTAGAACCCAAAACTTTGTACTTTCACTTGATGCCAAGTTGCATAATTAACCAGACACTTAGTCAGCTCTATATGGCCCTGTTGCAGGCGTTAATCAGTCCAGCAATTAAAACTTATGTCAACATTTTTGTGCAAGTTCCCATCTTGCATAGGGATGTCAACACATTATTACACTGACAGAGCAGTGCCTCTCTGTCAATAACACGTCAGCAATTATTACAGAAACAATTAACAGTTCTAGTGTTAATTACAGAACATTGACTTACAGAGCATTCACTAAAGTGGAAACTGATGGGAATCCACAAGGGAATTGCAAATTTTAGAAAGAAAAAAAAATAGCCTTTCTGGAAAGATAACACGGTTAGTAAATGTTTCACTTCTAGCTATTTTGGGCTCAGATTTGCAAATGTCTAGTGAATTTCTAAAACTATCATTTCACACAATCACCCTATCAGTGCACAAAGATACTCTGTCATTAATTAGCAGCATGCAGAAATAAGGAGAAAGGCAGATAATCCGATCTTTGTGAGAGGCGAAAGAGAATGATCAGCATGTGCACAGAAAACATTCAGCAAAAAAGAAAAAAATGAACACATTAAAAATCAACTACATCCCACTTTGACCATTTTTTCACAATATGTTTGGTTTTCTGTTAAATTAAGTTTTTTGTGCATGACAGACATAGTTCAACACGGTGAAAGGCACAGCAGTTTAATGGAAAATAGAACCAATGAGACAGAAATAAGGAGATTGCAGTTAAAGCTGCACGTGTGAGTCTTTGCAGAGTCTTATTAATATGTCAACTGTTACTTGAAATATTTCATTACACAATATCTTTCATTTTCAAAACCTTGAATTAGGTGTTTGTTAAAAATAGCAGTATACGTACCATTGAGATTGCTGAAATGCATTAAATCTTCCTTGGAAAGTTTAGCTTCTTCTGATGGACTTACTGTTCCCACTTCAGTAAAAGCTTAATCAAAAAACATATATTAGAAAAAAAAGACTGAGCATCTTCCGATGTACTTACAGATCAGTAAAAGCTAAAACAAAAATGCATTTATAAGAAACACATTAGCATGTTACAGTCAGTAAACGATTCCATGTATTGGGAGGGCCTCTAGTGGTCAGGATGATTTTGTACATTTGCTGTTAGGAATCATCAAAGATTTCTAAAGCAGCCATGTCTGCACCTTCATCTGGTTCTACTCATAAAAACTCCAGTGGAAGCCTTATTTGGAATCTGCTGATGGCAGTGCAAAAAAAGACTAATAAGTTCAAAAGAAAGCTCCCGCACAAAAGCTATTTCTATGTTTAGTGTTTTAAGCAAAAGTGCTGCACATACAGATTCCTACCACCGTGACCACTTCTAACAGCAGCCTACGTAACTCCATCAGCAGACCACAGCCTAGATCAGGCTTCCCCAAACTCCGGCCCTCCAGATGTTGCTGAACTAAAACTCCCATGATTCTATGAATGAAATAGATAGGCTGAGAATCATGGGAGTTGTAGTCCAGCAACATCTGGAGGGCCGGCGTTAGGGGAAGCCTGGCTTAGAGTAATATTCAGCTTTAGCTGTACTCATCAAATGACATACATGCGAGGGCTGCTTGACAACAGACTGATTAGAATTTAACCCTTTGTATTCCTAAACAGGTATTTGTTAACTAGATGTGCGTACAGTTATACAAATTAAAAGGGTTAATGCGAATATGAAGAACATTAAAGTGGATCTATCGTTCCACAAATACCACATGCTGTGAAATGCAGTCTTTAGACATCATGGCAAGTTGTGCAAACAATTACTCATTTTAAATTATATAAATATTTGCTGTAAAATGAAACCTGGAACAAAATGATATTTAATAAGTGTGGGTTCACTTAATATGAAAGAGGTAAATTATGATTGAACAGAGATGTAGCTCCAATTTTAGGTTTTGTTTCCTCAGTGGGTTAAGACTCTGCATGCTAAATGGGAAAACTGTATTTAGCCAGATTTTATATTCCATTGAGAACACATTTTTGTGCTTCCTAGCCATTTTTCAACTCTGTCACAATCAAGAAAAACTAGAGATAGTTGTTTCAACAGAGACAATCTCACATCATACTCATATTGACATCAAGTTTAAAACACTACCTTAAAGAGTTTCGCAGAAAAGGAAACAAAAACACTGTTAATGACTTAAGTCTAGCGAGTGACCAACCATATATTAATCTACTTTTTTTTTTTTTAAATATAGATCAAGTTTTTTTTTTTTACAATTATACTACTGCATTGAAAAATAATAAAAAAATGGAAACTTACCTGGAGGTATATGCATTTTAAAGAGTAATTTCAGTCTGTCTGTGAAACTTCCATTGAACATAACATCTATGGTGTTAAAACAGATGGGTGATTAGACAATGTTTTAGCCCACCAATGTTCTATGCAAACCAATGAGTTGACAAAAATGAACAAAAATACTCAAACGCAGACTAAAACCAAAAGTTACACAAAGCTAACTATTTTGAATGTTGTTCATTCCTCTGATGTCTCGCAGTCTACCTGTGCTTTACTTTATTTGGATATGATATTACAATTGACTCAGGTAAATATAAACCGACACATAAAGGTGGACTAACAAATGCACATCTAACAAAGACTTTTGATCCCTAAATTTTCAAAGGAACAAGTGTTTATTGAAAACCCTTTTTTACCCTTAGATGGACTTTACACTTCCTCGACGACTAATTCTTTAGCAGGACTTCATTCATGAATCTGTCTCTTAACTTGACTGGTTTTTTTATTTTTATTTTTTAACGGCTTTGGCTTCCAAAACCTACTTTTGGATTGTAAACCTACTATCTCTACTTCTTTTGTGACACTGGATTAATTACAGGACTCCAACTCTCCATTTATATGGAAATGAAACTCTTGATAGAACCTTCTACAGGATAACTCTCTCTGAGTAACGTATGCTCTTTGTATACTATTCTCTTTGATAACTTTCTGTTAAGTTTTGTAAGTGGACTATTTGTGTTCTCTTATATTTATTTTAGATGGGCCCATTTTCTTTTGTTGTTTGGTTACCATCTTAAATAAGCATTCGTCTGCTAAGTGATATTCTATTTAGGTGTGTAGTCTCCAGGGTAGATATTCTTTGCTGTCTTTAAGAGACCAACCATACCTCTTACACCGCTGACCAATTCTAGGGAAGCTTCAACAGACCTATACAATTGCTAGAGATCATTATTCTTAAAAGAGGAAAACTTTTTGTGAATCAATATTTGCTAGATCCATCTCTGCTCACCCAAGATAATGAAAACACACAATATTAATGACCCACATTAACAAACTTTAGCACTGAAAAACAAGAAGAATGCCTAGTCTGAGAACGACATAACGAGTGCACTTGCATTATCCATAAACGTATTCCCTGGATATTCAGAACAAAGAATGCCAAATTTGACCAATAAATTACCTTACCAAATGCAAAAACAAATTCTTTAAAATTGATGAGACCATCAGAGTTGTCATCCATTAAACGAAAAGTCCACAGAGCAAGAGAGTCCACACTTGGAGAATATGCCCAGGGGCTTAGCAGATGGTAAAGAGTGCGGAATTGCTGGCAGTCTATATGGTATTGTTCTAAGTAGGGTAAACTTGAGTCGTGATGACTAAGGGTGCTGCTATTCAAGCTCCAGTAACAAGATAAAAAGTGTTCTCTCTGTAATAACATAGTAATTTAGATTAAAAGAAAACACTCAAAATCTCCCTTTCTACATACGCACATGTAATACACACAAATAGACACTCTACACTGAACCAACTCTCTGCACTGTGTAAAATATCCAGTCCTGCATAGGAAACCTTTTAGTGCAACAACATGGAATTTTTCAATTTTTGATTGACACAACATACCAAACACTTTCAAAATGCAACATACATATATATATATATATATATATAAATATATATATATATATATTTATTTATTTATTTATTTATTTATTTATTTTTTAAATCAGAAGTAAAATAAATAAATAACAAAAGCAGACATTTACTAGTGTAAGCAATTAGCCCCTTGATATATACTTGGAAGAACCGTTTTGACTATAACCATAGCTGTGAGTTTTTTGTACATAAACAAATGTTTATCAAGAAGAAGAGTCTAAAATGTTAGAAGTTCTTCTGCCAGGCTGGACAGTAATTTCCCAGCATTTTCACAGTGTCCATAAGATTGTTCTGAGTTTTGACTTGATCATCCTAAAACAATCTGGATATTGTCTTCTCACTCAAGTAAAGCGGTGGATATGTATTTGGGGTCCTTATCAAAAAATTAGGTCCAATTTCAGATGTGTTGCAAACATGCTGCTTTCTCCCTTCTTCACGTCAATCCTAAGAAGTTTCCCAGTCACTCACGATTAAAAGTATCGTGGCAAGAATATGCAACCATTAGCATGCTTCAAAGCAGGGATTGTGGTGGATGATGAGCAAGTTCAGTTTTGATCTGCAACATGTCGCAGACATGCGTTATTCCTGGTCCACAGTCATACCATATGTCCCTTTTACGGACTCTATGCGTTGTCCTTATGTCCAACTGATGCTGTATCAAAACCTAACAATTTCTGATGCAGAACACTTCATACCCGTCTCATTTTATAGGGTCCCAGGCATGTGTCAATTTATAGACGCTGAGAGTCCTGCATCATTCCTATGTCAATATACGTACACGTTTCAGGATGTGCAGGAATGATGCAAAACTTCTATATATGTTCCAGTCCATCTTTGCCCTGTCGTGGTTCCTGTATTGTTCCAATAGCGTGTTACAATGTGTTTACTTTCTTTTTATTTGACGATAGGGATCTCTGGTTCCATTTGACTTTGGCTTATTTAAGGTTTACTCTCCTAAACTATATTACTTTAAGCCTGAGCATGTCTAAAGGGTTTGATACGGTCACCCATGATATCATATAGAATGTCCATGTTTCTAAGAACTGTGGCCTTCCAGAAACAGGTGATACGTCAACCCTACAAAAGGTACAATGTAGAACTCATTAAATTTATTATGTAACTTCTGACGACAACTGGATTCATCAGAGCTTACTTAGGGTTTTGTTTTCTTCATTCACTTTATGTGACATCTTTAACAATTGCATCTTGCAAATGTCCGGTATATTGTATAAATCAAATGGTAAAAATCTAACTAACTTTATTTTAATTCTAGGTCACAACACTGTGCAATGTAGAAACATCCAATAGGGGTGCATAATGTTTAAAGGCACTGTAAACATTAATGAAAGAACAAGAACAGGTGATTGCACAGATAGGATAGAGCTCCACAAATTTGTAGGACGTCCCTAGGTTCTGTAAAAATAGAACACCAACATAGGGTAGTATGCTAGACACATAATATTAAATTGAGAAGCTTGGAAAAATATTATGTGTCTAGCATACAAATTTGTGGAGCTATATCCTATCTGTGCAATCACCTGTTCTTGTTCTTTCATTTGTATATGTAAGTGTATTTAGTGACTATACACTAAGGTGTTTTTTGCTGCATGCTATATTACTAGCACGTTTTTTAATTAGCGCCGCCCCTTTTTCCTTTCTAATTTTTTATAACTGTAAACATTAAGATAACTTCTTACTTTAAAAAAAAAAAAAAAGTCAGTACTGTATGTGGTCTTCCTGAGCGTTTAATACCAAAATAGGTTTGAAATAACTAAACAAAATTGAAGGCATTAAACACAGAGGAAGAACAAAAACTATCACTGTCTGATTCTTTAAATTCTCTAGGTTTGACAAGAAGATTCAGTGAAAAGTTTGGTCCCACACAACTCTGCCAGATGATGAGCAATATAAACAGTTGCACTGTGAGATGTCCTACATGAAACAACTCGACCAAGGAGTGTTGTTGCTAAGACATGTCATGAATTCTACAAGCAGGAGTCATTGCAGGATGTGATAAACCACAGAGAAACAACCACTGCCAGAAAGTACTAGGGGACGAGAATCCAGAATTAAAATTCTAGATGTGTCCTCCATATTGCTTTCAATGTGCAATGGCAATCAATTATACAACATACATATACTAAAAACTAACCTGTGCTTAGGCTTAAAGGGACACTATAGTTACCTGAACAACTTTAGCTTAATGAAGCAGTTTTGGTGTATAGAACATGCCCCTGCAGCCTTACTGCTCAATCCTCTGCCATTTAGGAGTTAAATCCCTTTGTTTATGAACCTTAGTCACACCTCCCTGCATGTGACTTGCACAGCCTTCCATAAACACTTCCTGTAAAGAGAGCCCTATTTAGGCTTTCTTTATTGCAAGTTCTGTTTAATTGAGATTTTCTTATCCCCTGCTATGTTAATAGCTTGCTAGACCCTGCAAGAGCCTCCTGTATGTGATTAAAGTTCAATATAGAGATTTGGATACAATTATTTAAGTTAAATTACATCTGTTTGAAAGTGAAACCAGTTTTTTTTTTCATGCAGGCTCTGTCAATCATAGCCAAGGGAGGTGTGGCTAGGGCTGCATAAACAGAAACAAAGTGATTTAACTCCTAAATGACAGTGAATTGAGCCGTGAAATTGCAGGGGAATGATCTATACACTAAAACTGCTTTATTTAGCTAAAGTAATTTAGGTGACTATAGTGTTCCTTTAAAGAAAAAAAATGTTAAAGCATTTCTATTTTAAGACATTCAACAGACTCTGACAGCTATATGTGATATTGAACTGATATTGAAATGCGGATTGGGAAAAGAAAAAGAAAAAAACAAAACCTACCGGCAGGTGCATCTCTAGCTAAGAGAGTTTTGAATTAGTGCCAAAGTTAAAACTTAACTTTGGATATCATTTAATAAAATAGAAGATAAGATAAAATCAAATCAAGCAAGGCGTTCAGTCCTTCCTGTATATAATACTGGGTAGTGTGGCAACAAAGTAACAGTGAACATTACCAAAATTAATAGTTAGCAAACTAATAGAATATTATTTACACACTTAAACTGGAGTCAGAGTTAAGGCTATTGAATGTAGCAAAAAGAGACGGAGAAGAGAGGTGCTGCTAGACTCTCTAGGGAAATGCCACTTTGTTTCCAGAAGAAAATTAAAGGGACACTGTAGACACCATAACCACTTCAACAGATTAAAGTGGTTATGGTGCCTGGAGCAGTGGGTCCCGCATCTATGCTAATGGTTTACTCACTAGGTAGCAGATATGCAGCCTGGTCTCCAATTACTATATGTTCAAGGAGGGCTGAGGCTCTGAATCATGCCATACCAATTCATGTTATCTCAGTCTATCACTGCCCGCTACCCTTGATATCGCGTGAGGTGTAGCGTAAATTCATCATGGCAATATTAGGCTGGGCTGCAGCCTGAGGGACAAAGCATTTTAATATTGCAGGCTTTCCTCTAATCAACTATAGAGTAATTCTGTATTACCTACAACAGATTTATTGTTCCTAATAAAGGTGAACTATGAAGGACATTAAAGAGGAAATAAGATAGATCACACTGGCTATAGGCATCTACATCTTTTACCGAAATACCTTAAATAAATAAAAAAGCTCTTCCAGATCAGCAGCGTTGAATTTTACATCCTGCAACACAACCCGAAGCTGATAAAATAAAAAGAAGATAACAAGGTAAATATCTGTTGAGTATATAACAACTGATGCATCATGATAGGTGTAGCAAACAAACACTGCTTCTCTAATAATAGATCTGTTAACTGTGCAGAACTGTGGTATTATTGGCTTCTGTTTGTGATCCAGGGGAGTGATGACGATTAGTTATGTACTATGTTTTCATGTGTGGAGATAAAGTTTGAAGCTCAAACTGGATGAGTGGACATGGCTGGTCCTTCCCTTTGCCCTCACCCTATCTACGATTTGAGAAATATCATCTTACCCTTTTAATACTTTGCCTACTCCAGGTTTTCCTTGATTTCTGACTCACCTGGGCTCTCCTTAATTGTTTTCAAATTAACAATGGTATTCTGAATAAATATTCGGGAAGTATACCTTTTCATGCCTCCAATACTCATTATTACTAACTGTGATTACGCTCTTCTTTCTGGTTACTCTTACCATATTTTTCTAAGTTTATAATCATGGCTTTGTAAATTTAATTCCTCAGTGTGAACTTTTAATGTAATTTTTTTTTTTCCAATAAAGAAAAATATTGCCAAAAAAAGAAATACATAGCTCTGTAAGAGTGGGGATCTCTGTAGGACTACTCCTGCTCTTTGTTTTACTGCTAAACTAGTGGGCATTTTACTGATCTGTTAAACTTTCATGTCAGTGTTAACTGTCCTTAAAAGAGTAAATCAGTATGTCTTATTATGGATGGATTTACTTTTGTGTGAATCACAGTTAATATTGATTGACAGAACAGAGCTTGAGCAATGATGGCAAAATTTAAAAATATCAATAAAAAAAAAATAATCAAGCAACTACTTTTTCTGGAAAGACTCATTTCCTCTATGAAATACTCACCACATTTTGTTTAGTCGCTGTTTCTAAAGTCTGGATAACATATAGCCTGTTTCTTCTGCGCATACTTTCAACATCCTCATATCGAATGGCCCCAAACTTCTGTAGAACAAATTCAAGTCAGAGAGTCAGCTTATTAATCAACATGTTGACGTGTCTTTAAAAATATATGAAATTTAATTTGCAAGCAAAAAAAAAGCCAATAAAGTGAGCGACTGCAAATTTCATTCTTAAAGGGACACTGAGTACTAAAACTACTCAAGCTTAATGAAGTGCTTTTGGTGTATAGATCATGCTCAATTCTCTGCCATTTAGAAGTTAATGTTAATGCAGCCCTAGCCACACCTCACCTGTCTGTGGCTTACACAGCCTTCATACACACTTCCTGTAAAGAGAGTACTAATTTTTAAACTTCCTTTATTGCACAGTGCGTTTATTTAAGAATTTCTTATCTCCTGCTCTGTTAATAGCCTACAAGAGCCTCCTATGTGAGATTAATGAAAAATGTATAGAGATAAAAACTTTTAAAGTAAATACACTGTGCTGTAAAATCCGATTAATTAAACCATTTTAGTAAATGATCAAGCAAGAGGGCCTGGCTAGGATGTGCCAAAAGTACATGAATCCCCATGTTTCCAAAATGAACCCCATAAGGACACCACTTCTGGAATAAAAGGGAATCATGACCGAATATGTCCGTCATATGTCTTTAAGGGGTTAAAAACACGTGCCAGCAGCTCCATGTGTACATCTTGGAAATCTTCAAAGAGTCTAGCTGCCAGTGTTGTCATTATTAGACATACTGTCACGAGTTACCAAGAAACATAACAGAACAGCTATAAAAGAATGTAAACAATATACCAAGAACATAGGACAACTCGAGGGAACGCAATGTACGCACCTCATTTGACTCCTTGATTAAGTCTGTAATTTCCACTTTAGTGCTGTTCAGTTTTCTGTTGGTGTGAGCTGATGCTTGCTGTACTGCTGATGGCAATGGGCTGTCCTTGTTAATGACGTTTTCAAAGAACCTACAGGAAGCAAGATGACTTACTATAAACCTAACTCTACTTTGACACAAGCAAAAAGATAAGTTTGCTATCAAGTTAAATATTTATATTTAATATATGTAATTTACAGCTTTAAATGGAATTATCAAGGGATTTGAATATGTATCTCTTATGACAACATTGTGTCATGTTCCTTATCAGCAAAGGGTTTTGTATCTACCAGACTCAGCTAATACGGTAGGTTCATGTTGATGCTTACAGACATACTTTCTAGATTAAAGGTTGAGACAATCATTCAGGTTTTTTGTTTGTAATATTATATGACATGTATTGTGCTCTTCTTTGGATCTCTGTCATACATTTGATACATGTGTTTTTACAAGATGATATTATTTTTCATTTCTTAATTTTACCTGTTGAGAATAGTGACGGCCTCTGCGTCGTCTTTACAAACCAGAAGTTTCTCGATGTTGAATTCCAAAACAGCCAGTCCTAACTGAAGGATTGCTTTAATCCCATCATAGAAGAAGCAGTCAACAACATTGACAGCACTTTCAATAGGCAGGACACTAATAAAGAGTGTCAGAAACCAAGAAAGGGAGACCGAGGAGAAGAAAGTCATGTCCGTCATATGATCAGTCAGCTGGGGCAAATAAACTTTGATGAGTTCTTCAAATACTGCCTGATCTACCAGGGCACCTAGAATACAATGAACACAAATATCTTTACGTTACTTCTATTTGTACAAATCAGCTGTTTTCACTCTTTGACATCTTAATTCTTATTTTCATCTTGTACCCCTCAAAGCGTCTTTCCACACTCCGTAAAACTATACAATGTGTCTCCACAGTAAATCAATACAATTACTTAAACTTCCACATTTTTCTTTTATTACAAGCACGTATCCTTATCTAACATTCTCTCCTCTCAGTTCTTTTTAAATCTACAGGACCTAAACTTTTCACCCTCTACATATGTTTGAACTAAGAACAAAGTATCATCAAGATGCTACATTTCTCAACAAGCCTATTTATGTAGTGGAAAGAACTAGAGTAAAGTTACTCCTGTTTGAAGTAGAAGCTTTGAGTTTTATGTTCCTCCGAGATGTTCTTTTATTGAATGCAGAAGACCCAGGAGAAATATTCTACCCAAGAGAATCTTATTTGTGCTTCGACCCAGAATACCCACAAAAGAATAAGGAACAATATACAATAGTAGGGCTACTGCTTGCGGGTTGGTGCAAAGCATTGGTTTTAAAGAGGTGGGTGGACCTGAGTTGCTGTGCAGATCAAGAAACTAAACATCACACAATATATAAGACCCTTTTAACTTGTTACTATTCCATATGGTGAGCATATGAAGACTATTCTTTCTGTGCAGCAATACTTTCATAGCTTGATTTTCATCAGGAAGGACTTAAACCAAAAATGATAAATGAAAATATTATCTTTACACGTTATGTATAGTCCATTTAACAATGAGTTATGAATGTGTTGATAACTACACTAAGGTATAATCTTTCTAGTTAGGATCAGCCTTGTTGCCTATGTTTTTGGAGGATATGCAAGTGAATTTTTAACATGCCATATACATTGAAATACAAAGAAATATTTGAAGAGTCAGGATTTTTGTGGAGGGCAAGGATATACAAATTATACATTGTGTAAAATCACAATATGTATAATATGTACCAGAGTATATGATACATTTTTAGCCACATTATGGTGACCATTTGTTTGAGTGAACCATGGTGGAGGTTGTTCTTATTTAAGATCTGTGTTGCATGCTACAATGAGTTGAATAATGTATTATGCATGCCACGAGTTTCTATATGACTACTATAATCAAGCATAGATATCTTCAGGTCCATTGCATTTCATAACTACTGACATGTAAGATAGTGTATTTAAAACGCTCCACAATAAAAAAATAAATAATAAAATGACTGTTTAGTATATATACGCCAATGAATACATGCATGCTGGAAGTACGTTATGGGTGTGGTGGGGTCCTTTAAGAAAATAAATAATATGCTTTTTGGTTCAATCCAACACATTCATGTTTGGCATAGCGTAGTGTTGTTTTTCACGTTCAACAAATTAGAATAACATATAATTTTAAGTATGTTATTAAAGTATCTCTGTCCTCTAAAAAAATAACATTATTTAATCTGTTTCTACACAACTCCCTGTCTCTGAATCTCATTTTATTGTTTCCCGAGTGTTGTAGTTTTATAAAACAGATAAAGGAAAGTATAGCGGTCAAGTTGACAAAACTTGACAATGGGCAGAGTTTAAGCAAAGGTCTGTTTCAGTGGCCACACAAATTTACCCACAACCCCTTTGTAAAATCAATCCCACAGAAGGGCCAACAGCAGAGATCAAGAAGACAGAGAAGAAAAAAATGGCGGCACCCAGAAAATGAACACAAGGAAGAAAATAAAATAAATATAAATAATGGCAAGCGGCAAGGTGGGGAGTGTAATTTAGATACAATAGTATAAGGAGGAGAAAAAAAAGGCAGGGCCGGTTACTAAGTTTGCCTAGAATGCAACATTTTGTTTAAGACAACCTAGAATAACTTGTTGCTTAGAGGTTATTGAACGTTACAAATTGTGTGCATTATGTGTAACTACTGCATGTGATTTTATGTTTGTCACATTCCACACACTTTTCAAGATGTTTTACAACTGCTGGCTGGCTTATACACTGCTATATCATGAATTCAAGTTTAATGCTTTGCACTAGAGGAGTACCTAGGGTATCTGGAAATGTATAATGGCACCGCTACCAAACACTCGAACTGTAGATTTTTATTCTGTTTTGTCTCTTTGCACTGCCCCTATCACCCATGTGTTAGGAATAATACATAAAACACACACTTCACATATCATACACACACACATTAATACAGACATACTCACATTCATATACACATACTCAAATACGTTAATTAATTTGGCCCATCATCCCAGGTGTCCAGTGATTTGTTTCTAGGATCATCTGTGCACTAAATGCCCTGTCTTTGGGGCTGGATTGATGATGCCTCACTGCCTGCGAGGTCTGAATCTGCAGAGCAGGCACTTGCCACATGGTAACAGCAGCCGGTAAGCAGGTGCCTGCTCTGGCTACAGAGGGAGTTTCCATGCCCCCTCCCGTCCCAACGCCTTTCACACGTCGTGGACTGCCGTCCCCTATCCCCAGGTTAGTACTGTTTTGCACTAAATAGTCACTTGTAGGCATGTTGTCTAAAAACTTCTTTGAACAGTCTAAGCCTAGGATTATTTAGGATTCGGATTACTGCTGAGGAACATATTCTTAGTCACACTGATTACTTTAAGAATGTACCTATGATTCTTCGGTTGAAGTAATCAGGAAGCATTCTTTCACAGACAGCAACCAGGAGCCAAAATGCTTCCTCTTCTTTGGCATAAAGAAGCAAAACGGAAGTCAGTATGTTCATTGCCTGGAAAGAGAGACCAGAAGATAAATATTCTAACATATTATGTGCACTAGTAAAAATCTATGCACCACTTTTATTATGCTTTTATTAACTCCACATTTACAGAATCATCAAAGGATTGAAAACAGAAATTGTATGTGATGACCTATGCATGCCTGTCTTATCATTCCAAACGAATAGTAACCAATAGAACCATCCAGGTTGTGGAGATAAATCTAGTTAATAGATTGACAATTATACAATTATTTATCAGTAAGGTGGATGAACTGATTATTAATATAGTACAGACATATCATTCTAAAAACATTCTAGAATGCCAAGGGCAATATTTTCATACAATGATAAAGCGCATATGCATCATACAACACACGATGCATATGTAATACATAGCTAACAAAGGAACATTTTAAGCACCATAACTACTACATCACACTGTAGTGGTTATGGAGCAAAGAGTACTCAGACGTTCCCAAGTAGTGAAACCATTTTGGAATGTTTGATTTCTTAGCTGGAATCTGCAGGGCACAGCTACAGGAAAAACATAAGAACTACATCCGAACTAAGCCCAGCAGTGCAGGGCTCAGCTCAAAGGCAGACCGCGATTACCACTGCAGGGTTCTGCTCAGGAGAACTAAAACAATACTTGTCTATGAGATTCCAGGCAGTCTGGTTTGTTTTGTAGAAGAGAACATCCCACCACTGCATTGTGGATAGTGATGATAACCCAGATTTCCACACATGATTTTACTGCTTTCACTGATGGTGTTTACCATATAAACAGCACTGGCAGACTGTATCCCTCTAAAGCAGTGTTAGAACACTTAGTCCTGTGTGATCAGCAGTAGCATTATATTCAGATTAGATCACATTATTATCCTATCATTAAGCCCACAATACTTCGCAGACCAGTCCTAAAGTTTCTTTTTGTGTAAAACAGTTTTCCTCCATTAGCGTTTGCTGGCTGTCTTGGCATCTTGCCCCTTGTTCCCCTACAGGCAAACTGTGGTTGATAATAAGAATTCTAAAAAATGCCACAAAATGACCTGTCCGTAAACTGAATGATCGATAAAACAGAAAGAAAATAAACCAACAATACTGCTGTCTTGCTTCTACTAATTTATAACATAAAAAGGGTTAATAGCAGACACGCTCTCTGTTTACTTTTTTCAAAAAAACAGTAATAATAAAATAACGATAAAGGGGAAAAGAAATAGTTTAAAAGAACAATTTAATCTTTTCTACTCCTATATGGAGATTGAAGGCTAAGAAGTCTAATTATCACAGCAGTTAATGAACACAGACGCAGTGCATTATAAGAAAATAGACAGCATGGTAACTCTGCAATCAATCCATGTATCAGCCTAGCTCCCTAGAGTAATGCAAATAATGGCAAGATGTGCTCACCTGACACTCCACGCCTGGGACCTTAACATACTAACAACAATTACTAATGCTTCATCGCACAGCACCTCCACTGGGATACAGGTAAACAATTTATTTTCCGGTCTGTGATGTATAAAACACATGCAAATATTATTAATCATTTCAAATTTCGACACTGGGGCATTACTGAAATGACATCTAAACCTCACACCTCTGGAAGGAGCCCGATTTGGATGTTACAGTAGATATTTAGTTCTCTCCAGGACCGGCTGCTTTGAGTGGGGTTATGAAATCACTGCAGTCACTAGGGACATCAGCCTAGCATGTGCGTGGGTGCAAAGGGGCATTCCTCTGCTGTAGCAGAACAAAAGAGCTCACACAGAGAAGGAGAAAGAAAAGATAGCGAACATGTTACTTTCCCCAGAGGTATAGAATTTAGAGATGGAAAAGATTTTATTTTATTCAATAAATATATTCTCTACAAAGGATTCCTGTAGCAGTAGCTATATTATATTATATATAGCATCAATATATTCTTGTGCACTACCAAATTGTCTTCTACTTGGATTGATATTCTGGGAGGTCAGAAAAGCAAACACGGGAGGCGGAGCCTGGCATCCTTGCAGGATAGACGTGTGGGGCTCGAGCTCCCGGGCTTTCCGCACTCTTTGGGGTGATAACCCCGATTAATCGTACGTACCCTGACACTGGGGGGGCATCACCGGGAAGCCGAGCTTGTGTGATACGCACAGATACCTGAATCTAGCCTGTAACCCCTTGGAGACCTGAGCCACGCTGCTGTGGCCTACTGGGAGAAGGCTGGGGAGAGGCGGCCGATCTCCTCACCTTGAAAACCCCCATCTGGCTCGGCGGCGATTCAACCCCCCCCCCCCCGGATCAGTGGGGGATATCCCAGTCCATACCGAACACACTGGGGCAACAAGCACGGCTCCAGTCTCCTGCCACAGACTGGCTCCCGTAAGAATGTCTGATACACCAAGCCACAAAATGGCGGCTACCTGATTGCCGACCACGCAGCACTTACACCCCTCCATAGAGAATCAACACAGCCTGGAAACTACACTGCAGAGCCTGGATGACATTTTTCAGAGATTCTGGTGGAGGATCCTGGAGCGGGAGCAGACTGTCATGGCCGAGAGGGAAATCCCTCCTAAGAGCACAGAGCAGCCGAGAGGAAACAGGCTTCCCCCGGGCAAAGCACACAAGCCTGCGCCCACTCACTCATCTGCTTGCCCGCCCGGGCAGAGAACCCCTCAGAGCACAACCCCCAAGCATCAGGCGCCAAAGCGGAGGATCACCCGCCGGCACAGGCGCATAAAATCTAAACCCACTACTTACCCAGAGAGAAGGAAGAGCCTGGCTCCAGCGAACACCAGAGTCAGCATAAAAATGAAACAGGCACTCGTCCAAGCCTGGGGTGGAAACGAAGCCCTGCATCGCTATGCCAACACCGATCACCGGAACGCTCAAGCACAGGCCCCACATATGCCACAAGCGGGGATCAGATGAACCAGACACAGCACAAGCTTAGCTCCCAGAGTGGTGACCACAGAGTCGTCTCATCTTGGACTGGTGCTCACTCACTAACAATACCACACTGGCTGCCATTATGTAATCATATCATTACTGCTTCATTTTTTTTGTTTTTTCTCTCTCCCTCTTTCCCTTATACTTTCCCTCTCCTGCCAATAACACAAGGGGGATGCTAACTATTTACTGCTCCAATTTTGAGGCAACCCGGAGGCCAGTGGTCCAATACAATCTGACAACCTAGATCCCACGCCAGAACCCATCATTAGCCTGGTATAACCTTGCTGTCTCACTGCTTTAACCCAGTTAGCATGTCTCACAATCTACTTTACAAACTTTATATACCTACATGTCTATGAATTTGCATAGAATCTCCTCTAGACATGCTCTGCCTAGCCTGTACTCCCTATCACCATAAAAAAAAAAAAAATGTGTAGTACAATCAAATGCCTTATAACTGTTATGCATTGTTCAGCTCATTATCTTGCCATTGCTGTTGGGGCACTGCAAGAATGTCTGTCACTCTCATGCACACAAAAAAAAAAAAAAAAAAAAGCAAACACTAACTTTTTTTTTTACATTTAAGAACCTTGTTGTCATTGGAGGTTTTTTTTTACAAAATACTCATCAATCAGGCCCCGGTACTGTTGGGGGAAATATTATGATTATTTATAACTGATTAATATGTGCTTGATTAAGTCTGGGTGTATGGGAGGTCAGGAATTATCTTCAATGAGAGTTTCTGTTTAGATAGTTAGAAAGATACAGCACCTGAAAGGCACAGCTACATCCTTGGGAAAATAACAGGATAGACAACACTTAGGGCCTTGGGAAGGTAAATCACATTTACATATCAATTGAGCTGAGGAATTGGCTATTTACAACATGGGAACAAATTCCTTTAAAAATAGAAGATACTGACATCACATTAGACTAGGTTGGTAAGACACACACGCTGCACACAGCACATACACAATGTAGAAGATCTAATTAGATAGATGGAATGTGTGAGTGTTATGAATGTATTGTAACTCTGTAATACTTTAACTCAGTAACATTCTTTTTCTGTAATATTTAACTGGGCAGATTCTAAGTAAAGTTTTCTCTCTGGTAAGAACTATGGTGTTGGATGTTTATTTGTAATATCGGGTAGAATACCTTAGTAGTGATAGTCATATATTTATCTGGACAAGGGGAAAAAGTTATATGTTAGTTCTTGGAAGAAGTGTAACAGGGATATTACATTCACTATTAATACACAACGCAAAGTGGAGGATACCAATTGGAAGTATTGGTGGTGAGAGAAGAATTATACAACAGGCACTTACTTTGTTGTTTATGTAATGAAACCTCTGAATTTGATGCAAATATAAATATCTAAAAAAATCTCACAAGAGAACTGATTCAGCGTTGTTGAAGGGATTAGCAGTAATCCAGCATGATTGAATCTTGCTAATCTGCACAACAAAAGTCTGAATAATGAAAAAGTTAAATTTTCTCTTTGTCATTTTAGGGGCAAAGACAGGGCACTTCAATGACTGAGTGCAGTGACCCTCTCCCCTTAACCCAGCAATGTAAAACATGTCCGTTTTAGAGAAACTAAAGGTCGTTTCCTGCAGTTTCACGGAGTCTAACAAGGCTGGACTTCCTCCATGCTTTCCTATAGGGAAGGCCTAATGCTTGCATGGCACTCACCGCGCATGCGCAGTAAGTTCACAGATTGCCGTGACTTCACAGTAGGAGGAGCTCAATCGAGCGCCAATGAACCTCTGCACTGTAAACTAAGTGCAGCAAGGGTTTTTTAACGCATTCTTAATTGGGAGGGAGCGTGGGGTCCTAGGGAATACAGCTTTGTATTCCTACACTAAATAGTGTTCCTTTAAAAAGCACTGCAGCCAGAGTCTCCTCACACCAAACCCACTGCAATAAGATTGAGTACTTAAGGTGTTTGCAGAGTATGTTTAAAACATGGCTTTACTCCAGCAATGAAGAATACTTTGAACAGGTGGAAACTTTGCTCTATGTCTTGTACATTCTGTTTCTTTATAATCACCATTCAAAATAAGCTCACAGTGTATACAGTGCTAAAAACTGGTCTGCTGGAGAATAATTTCAGAACAATGTCATTGTGCTTAGCCAGGAACACGAGTCATGTTAGAAACAAAGAGAACGCACACGCCCAGTCTGAAACAACAATCCAAAGGGCCAAATTCTTCCCCAGTATTATACAGACAGGAACAGGCACACAGGTTTAGAAAATATTGCTTGTGCACCTGGTACTGTGTGTATACTCCTGCCAATCATATTACAGCAGACAGTGCAAAACCACCTTACCTGACAATATCCAATCTTGGGATTCCTGTACGCATACGCAGTCAGTACTCTCCTCAGTGCCGAAATCCCGGTGTCACTCTGGAAAGCGGGATGCTCTGGCAATGATCTACGCAAATCCCGCTCAATCTCATCAGTTGCCAAGGTGCACGTTCCAAAAGACTTCTCCACTACTTCTGTGTAGTAACCAGGATTCGCTGCCATATCGTTCACAGCACCTGGTGGTTTACAGTGAGCAGACATTAAACATGACATGAAATAAATGCACAACAGATAACTGAACAGTGAAATATATAAAGCTGTCCTACACTTTTTTTTAATAAAATTTTGAGGGGCAGCTAAAATCAACTTTCAAATTTCTTTAGCATAAAAGACTCCCGACAGTGTAGCTTTCGATGGGAAAGTCATGATTTTGGAGTTCAGACCCGCTGTCCTCCTTCAGTTTCCTGATGTCTTGAATGTGGGGACATCATGGAACAGACCTCAGGCAGCAGTGAGCAAATCCATAATTAGATGCGCTTGGGCTGTGCAGCAGGTACTAGAACCATTAAGGGAGTGCATCATTGTGCTTAATGTCGGGGGACAACCTGACCCATCCCCAGTGACGCAAGTCATGTGACTGGTAATGCCACCTCTGGGCCTTGTCCACCCAGTCCCTGTTTCATATCTCCTATTGGTAACCCTCATTAATACCAAATGTAGTCAGATTGTCACCAGCACAGAGAATAAAAGGGGGCCGCAAGATATCTCATTTAGTCCAATATATAAAATTGACAGGACCCTTGAGATTATTGTGAATAAAATCTCTCATAATTTATATCAGACCAATTCATCCACCCAGTGGCCGGGGGATCTGACAACAAAGATTTTACATCCATTTTAACATTATATTCTTTTAGTGTAAAGATTAGTTTCACACAATATGATTTTCACGTAGAACACAAAATATCTGAGATTTTACCTGAGAAAAGTAACCAAAGTTCTCCTTTTAGTGTCTCCGGAATGCCCCTCAATACTAAGCTTCGAGTCCGTTTTGTTCGAAACATGCTGACGCCACGTCCACATTCAGTAAACAGGATATTCCATGATTGTTCCTTCATTTTTTCTTTTAACTTTAAATGTTATTAACAAGGTTAGCTTACATTCATTAGATTTCTGGTAAACGTACTAAACTATTATTTTTAGGAGATGCAAATGCAGTATACAATTATAGACCAGAACTTGGCAACAGTGATTTTCCAGCTACTCTCAGACTGGAGTTGTTCTGACACTCAACCTTCCAGCAATTGGATTTAGGAACAGGGCTCAAATTTTTTACTAGCCCACTAGCCATTGGCAAGTAAAAATGTTGCCCTGGCAAACAGAAATGAACTTCTGCTGATTGCACCAAGGACCCTCCAGACTTGCAGTGGCAAGTAATTTTTAGGCCCGACTAGTAACATGGAACTTAACATTTTGATTTCTGTCTAAGAAGCAAGAAAAATACATTCTTTACCATTTTGGGGTCCAGATTTTCAGCATCTTGGGGGTGGAATACAGTCATTAAAGCTTCTGTGCTGACTGTTTTGCTGGTGCCTTTCTGGGCTGCCATAGGGTGTTCTTCAAGGAAATCGGATGAATTATCTATATAAGCAGCCTGTGAAAATGAAAATCAAACACATTCAACATAGAATCATTGTCAGATATTGTGTAATCTGTCAAATGTGTTCTACTACTATTTAAATAGATATTATAGGCACCATAGCCACATACCATGTTTTTTTGGTATGATGTCACCACCCCTGATTTTGTGCACTGTTCAGCGTGAAGTGTTTTTGAGCAGTTTGACACAAACCAAGTGTCCGGAAGGCCCCCGGACTCTCACTTGGTGGACATTACACTTTTGCATTACTAACAATGATTCTCAGTCAATAAATGCCATCCAAATTAGGACAAACTTGATACGTATAACAAGGAAGTGTAATTTCTGCAACAGCAATATGCCAAGAATGGGGCAATTTCCTAATAAAATTGGTTTCAGTGTCACATTTGACCTCACAAATCTCATTTAACTCAATTTCAGTACTTGTATTTGTACTGGATCACCAGTGAACAAGAATTGTAAAAAGCTCTATAGGATAGTTTAGTAGGTTTAGTAGCCTGGTCTGGTCAATTTGTATTGAGCACGTAAGACAATTTTTTGATGATTAGGGTAATAATTATTATTTACCATTTACTATTTAATAAAGTTTGAATCCAGTTAGTCTTACTGAATGATAGACAGTTCTTCTATAAATATAATATTTAACAAAATCAAGCTGTAACTAAGAAACTCTAGGCATAGGTAGTGATTACAGACTATCATTGCTTTTTAAAAAGATAGATGGTTTGGGGCAAATCTTCTAATTATTTGAGCAGCATGCAATGAGCTTTGGATGCCAAAAGAGTTCCCTTTTTTGTCAAACCTCTCAAAAATAGCTTGAAGCAAACAAAAGAAGCACCTAAAAACGTCTTCCACCATAACCACTACAATAGCGTATGTACTTAGTGCACTGCATTAGTAATGGTTCACATAGTGCTCTATTTAGGAGGATAAAAGTTCAAGATGTGCCTGTAAGGAGAGAAACAGATCAGTTTTAGCGCATTTCTAATTATAACAATATGTTGAGAACTCAAATTACCTCAGTGTACATGGTATGCTGAGGACTTGTTACAGTACATTTTGCTCGCAATCTTGTCACCAGTGATTCAAAATCTCGGACATCAGTAAAGCGGAATATTATCTTCCCTTTGGTGCTAATGGTGATAGCCCTTATTGATGCATCTGATCTTTCGATACCAACAATCTGAAATAGTAAACAAAGGGGCAATAGTATCTTACAAGTAGAACTGTCAGAAGAAATTTTAGTAAAAAATGTATTTTTTTTTTACTTACAAATTTGAGAAAGGGGTGGGGGGGGAGAATTTGGTTTATCATTTAAAGTGTTTGTTATGAAGCCAAAAGTTATGTTCTTTATAAGTAACAAGACAAGGATAAGATTTAGAATGTTCATCTTGTACACAGACAATGGATAATGCATAATGCAGAGGAATGTAGGCCAAAAGGTTTAAAATGCAATAGAAGTGGGGCAGGATTTACATAGAATTTGCCCTCAAGCATTCTGCGTAACACCTTAGGAAAACAAATGAGAATATGGGAGAATAGAAAATTATGGCATTTTTCCCCCCCATGCTTTAACCCCTTAAGGACACATGACGGAAATATTCCGTCATGATTCCCTTTTATTCCAGAAGTTGTGTCCTCAAGGGGTTAAAACAATGAGCTGAAGAATAAAGATTAAGGGGAAATAATGACGTTTGGTTATTATCAGCGAGATATTTTGATTTCAGTAGCCTTTTAATATTATTTATATTTTTTCAAAGTGTGCAGACCAATTTTTTAAAATGTATTTATTTAAAACATTTCCTTAAATATCACCAACAGCACAGTATTTTGACATTACTCTTTTTGAAACAAAACTATGTATAAATAAAATCTGGAGTCTTTAGAAGAAAGACTGTGACTTTTTATGTATAAGTTATTGCTCTAGGTGGCACTCTCTCTTAACATTTATCAAACCTGTTCAGTAAACAAGAAAATGCTATTAAACTGTTATTAAAAGTCCATCTGATTTAGTCACAAAACAATCCAACATAAGGGTGATCTATAAAGACATAGAAAAAGCAGAGGTGTGCATTACAAAAACTACAGGAATGTAAAAACAACTACGAATATAGTCCTTTTATAAAAGTATTGCACCTAACTGCTATCACATTGGATATTAATAAAAGGTATTAATATATTTGTAAACACTTCAAATTTATGTATATGCTTATTTTAAATAAACCATAAATTATAGTTGCAGCTTAAAGTCTCATATTTAGAACCAATGGCAAGAGTACTATAAAGGGGGTGGGGATCGACAAAAAGCTAGGATTGTATGATAGAACTGCTAGACAGAAGTAGTCAAATGATGATCGCAAGGCTAGACAGAAGTAGTTGAATGGACAGAATATCGAATGTAGGGCTTCATTTGAAACCATACACATTATTGCAGTAATGATTATAGCTCAACGAATTGCATAATATTAAAAAAAGCATTAAAAAAACTTTAAAATATAAATTAAAAAATTTAGAGCCTTTATACCATCGCGTTGTTCATTAAACATTAGTTATACAGACACACCATGCCATTTAAAAAATTTGAACATTTTACGTATTATGAAGAGGATGGAATACACAGGAATGGGAAACCGTAGCATACACCCCCTCTCACTCAGAATAAGCTCACATTTCCAATACGGCATACTATATTACTGCATAGTGCACCTATATCAATTTGGAAAACAAACTGGAATGTATGAACACACACACACATACATATATATATATATATATATATACATACATATATATATATATATATATATATTTGTTTTATTATTATTATTTTTTTTATTTATTTTTATCACAGCGTTTCCAGGATGAGGAGGTGCTGCATTTTTGGCCATTTCGGAAGCTGCAACTCCCATTCAGTGGTCGATCAGACAGAGACATAATGCAATCGTTGTCCAGTCTGAAAACATTATGTGTGTTACCTCTCTTAGTGGGATAATTGTACTGTACAGGCTGCCATCATGGCTCGCAAAGCAAATGTAGTTTTCAGAAATGCACATCTTGCCCAGAGTATTAAGGTGGCTGAATGGGATCCACAGGAAGCACTCGTGGACTTCTTTCAGAGATTCTTCCCTGGGCAACCGGAAGTAGGAGCTGAACTGTTCGCTATGTGCTCTGCTCTCCAAGCCTCTAGTGTAGAACAGAAATAGGGCAATTAATTTATTAGGTCCCTGTGATACAGAACTACCATAAAACACACAAGTAGGAAACTATACAGCAAATAAAATGTTGATATTTTGCAGAACTTGACTTTCAACCAGAAGATCCAGTTTAAAGGTCAGAGGGGTACCTTGCAGTTCTCTATTGGTTCTGTTCACTAGACAGTAAAGAAATGAGAAATCGAACCTCAAAATGCAAGTCAAATTGGTGCAGCTATTCTAGCCTAAATTTTGCAATTAGTTTTTTCACAGTTTGGTGAGTAAATGCCCATATTAAAGTAATCTGCATATTATTTTTCTGACTGATCCTGGTAATGCTGTCATAAAATAAATTCACCAAACACCTTTATTATTTCTGCACAGGTTATTATTCAAGAAGCTTCAGATTTCTGACAATGTCCGTCATAATCACCAGAGCTGCAGCGATTTGCTGAACCCCTACCCCTAGGGTTATTCACCAAGTATGACTGTTCGGAAATTCAAAGCGAATTTTACATTTTAACCCCTTAAGGACACATGACATGTCTGACATGTCATGATTCCATTTTATTCCAGAAGCTTGGTCCTTAAGGGGTTAAACCATAACAGCAGAACTATGTCAGCTATGATTCTATTTCAGCTATTTTATCCTACAATTTAAAATTCACTTTGATGGCCCAACAAGTCAATCTTTGCTGAATAAGCCTTTGTGTGACGTTAAAGGGCCTCCGTCTGATCCAGATAAAATCTTTTAATTGGCATCATTGAGAGAGCTTGAACAGCAGCTATAAATACGTTCAATGACGAAAAGAGATCTAGGCAAGAGGTAGATTCACTCCTGTTTTTGGTTGGGTCTCCCACTCGCTGTGCTGCTGCTCCAGGGAAATGAGATAGGATCAATGCATTCAATCAAAATATGACCCAGGATTGGCTGTGAAATGTCAGCCAAGTCATGGAATCTGCAGAAGCCGCAGATCCTGGGAAAAAAACCTTTTTGTGTTTTTAACGCATTATTTGCGTAGATTTCACACGGTTTATTATAAAATTTAATAATGCACACCTGAAAGGTCAGATTTCGAGTACCATATCTAGATTTCTAGATCCACTGTTTTAGAGACCAAAATCCACAGAGCTACTCAAGATTAAACTACCTCATAATAATTCTCAGAGAGTTTCATTGAGCTCTACTTACAACAAATTCTGTAAACGTTTATCAAACAACAGGGACAAGAAAAGAACCCGTCATAGGAATTCATATAAATGCATAAAACTAATACGCAAATCAAACAAGCACTGGTATCATATTAACAGAAGGAACATTAATCTGTGAAGATTATGTTTAAATGATTATTTTGAGAAGAAAAGTGTATCTCTTTAAAATAATCACCTAAAATTTCACATGATTCTCAAATATCAAGATCTGCTGCTCAAGTTTCATTTTCTTCATTTTCAGTTATGTATAATATAAAATTACACGTAGCATAGGTCTGAAAACACGTGTCTACAAAACAAAGGCTAAGAACTACAAGGGGCTGTTCAAAATCTATGATGTGAATCGACATGCTTTTCAATGATTTTCAGTATCCTAAAGGGGCCTGACACTTCCTCATTCCCTCACAGAAAATAAAGCTACAAAATCGTTTACAAGGGTGAGAAGCACAGCACAGTTAAATAAATAAACGAAAAATGTATTTATATTATTGCACAAACCACAGGTAACCTTACACAGCTATGGGTTCTGCAACAACTCTGCAGAAACAGATCCCTTTAAACGAAGCAACTTTCATTGGAGAAATTATCTTCGAGATGTACCTTAAAAAGCTTGCAGATCAGGAAATGCTCAGAAAGGAAAGTGGGACTGCTTACTACAGATAGACAGTACATGCAATCATTTTTAATGCCAGAGTGTGACAGAGACGTATTGTACAACATGGCGGTCTTAGATACATAGCACGTGTATGATGGGGTTGGCTTTCAGCAGTTTACTCTAGTTAACAAGCTAACTGGGACAGTTATATCACAGGCAGGACTCAAGCTATGAAATGTGCACAAAAAGAATACGGATAATAAATAATAGCCTATGCCTTAGAACTGCATATTTTGCACAGAAATGAGATACAGTGTCAATCACAGAAACAAAACCAGTTTTCAGAATTGTCAATGGTCAATTTAATGTATACTGAAAAGAAAAATGGATTTAAAACATCACAACCCAAGAAAAAAAAAAAAGTTGTATTGTTACCGTTTTGTAATTTGAAAAGGATCATTTAATACAGGATCTTTTTCAAACGTCTCCTTGTCAAAGAGCCTCCTGACAGCGTAACTTGCCAACTGCTCCATCAATAGAAAGGTCTCGTTAATGTGCATAAACATAGAAAAATAGTGATCTTCTCCATGCGAGCACACATGTATACTCTCTGTGAGCAGGACGGTGGAAGTCTTTTCGAGTTTGGAGATTTCATCCCATGAAATTATGAGTTTTACTGGGGATATAGCGAAAGTATGAAACAGTCAAAAAGTTAGATTCACAGTTATCACAGTGCAGATTCAACATGCCGCAACAAACATTTCTTGTCGACACTGCCAAAGATCTAGAACAAGCATGTCAAACCTGCGGTGTTTAAAACAGGGGCCTGGGTTTAGTAGAGGGTGTGCTGGGATTTAGTAGAGGGGGGGACTGGTATTTAGTATAAAGGTGGGGACTGGGGTTTAGTAGAGGAGAGTGCTGGGGTTTTTGACGAGTGGGATGCCATTTTTTATAACTGTACTTATCAAATTAAACCTACGTATCTATGAAAATGTAAGGGTTTTTTTTTTGGGGGGGGTGGGGGGGGTTTGCGGCCCACATAAACTTAAACTTTGTTTATTTGGCCCATGCTAGATCTAGAATGACTCAGATCAAGATTCATGGAATCATTTTATAGGAGGCCAGAGGAACCATCTGCAAAGCAGCTGGAAGACGATTTAAAAATGAATATTCAAGCATATGTTAGTGACAGGTATTAACATTAATACTAAGCACCAGATTACAGAAAGCAAAGCTAGAACCCCTGGCAGGATTCGCTTGTAACTTACTTAACATGCAATTTTAATGAAATTGTGCAAGATGTCAAGCCATTATCAATAAAGCACTTCTCTAAGCAAACATGTAGAATGACTGTGCAGCATGAGACTTCTCAGCATCCTACTCTCCCCAGAATCCACGACTGCTTGCAGGAGAAAGATGGAACCATAGCAGGCATATGTCACGAAGATATGAGTGGGGAAACAGTGGATATCTTGTAGCAAACTGGTAGCACCCCATAAATATACCATAAGGTGTGCTGTGTGTATTTATTGTTGATGTATGTGTTTTTAAGCTTTTTACACGTTAGAAGGTTCAATATTCTTAAGTTTTAGCTCCATACTTTTACTTGTTTTTTCTTTGTAACTATAGGTAGCACCCCATGGCCAGCAAAAGAAACCATGATATCAACAAATATTTACTTTAATTCCTCCAGACAGTCAACATTTTAGAGGAATACATTTATTTTCTTGCAAACATTTTCTGATCAATCACCACAATGTGAAGTCTTGCTATATTCAGAATACTGAATGCATTTCAAGTATTTCAAATATTTCTCCTGTTTTCTAACCATATACTTTCTCTACATTGTAGCGAAAAAGTTACAATCTTCTAACTCAGTGATGAGCACACACAGGAGCCGCAAGATATTTTCCCGGTGCTATGTTCATAGCACCGAGAATTGTGCCTCACTCTCCCCTGTCGGTTCTGCAGTACCGGATGGGAGATCAGAGATCTCCCTCACAGCCCGCTAGCACTGTAATGCTTGCAGCTGGCAGGGGAAGGAGAGAGGAAAGGGGAGCTCTAACTTGCAGCTCTACCAGGTTCTCCTCTTGCGAGCTTGGCGTTGCCACGGTTACCATGGAAACACTCCAAATCTTGCGAAAGTGAACTCTAGCGTGAGTTCACTCTCGCCACTAGGACCGTCAGGGCTTCCCCCCGGACCACCAGGGATTAGTAGTGTCCTTCCCCCCAGGCAAAGGTAAGAAGGGAGGGGGGATATGAAAATAATTATTTTTACTTGAAACAAAACAATTATATATTTATTAATTTACCCTCCTACCCCCACAGACACAATTACCCTCCATACACACACAATGCACCACTTACATAACCTGCCCCCCACATACTGTACCCCTCATACAACCTACCTCTCACACACACACACTTTAACCCTCACGCACAAACTGACACACACTACATTATTCACAAACACAATGCACCCCTGTACACTAATTGCACCCCTCACACGCACACAGTGCATCACCCCTCCCCCCCCACACACTCCACCATTCACACACAAACACATATTGCACCGGTCACACACACTACTGCCCTATCCCCTACTACAGTCCCTATCCTGGCGGATCCCAGGTAAGTTGTGAAACTGTTCTTAATCAGTTTGACTACTAAATCTGGGAGGGCACTACTGGCACCATAGCCACTACAAAGTGCTGTAGTGGTTATTGTGCCTGGATTGTTTCTTTAAATAATCTACCAGTGCCCCTCCCAAGATTAGGTTCTGGATCTGCGTTTGAACGGCAAGCATTTCTGCCAAACAGGTGCCCAGTATACGCCGCTGCGCTGTACATATATATAACATAGAAAACATTTTTACTTGGGGCACCTTGGAAAAATGTTTAAATATTAAGGGTGCCTTGAACCTAAGAACAGTGGTTCCCAAACGTTTAACGGATACATAATCTATAAGCTTCACAACAGAAATGAGTGTTTAGGCATTACTGTCCAGTCATAAGATGATGGAAATGTTCCCCTGTAATAAAGTTATCTGTTTTTCTTTCAAACGTAAACGTAATTTTGTTTCTTTAACCGATTATTCTTCTAGATGACTTGCTATGAAAGTGCCTCGGTCCTAGACTGTAAGACCATGGACAGGTTTGTGAATTCCTTCTTAACCTGTATTTTCTTGGTTAACTACCTTATACTGAAAATACTAATAAATATGAAGGAATTTAGTAAACACAACATAATATTTAAAAAAAAAGAAAAGACTCAACTGCGGATATTTAGGTTTACAAGAATGTGAACCACTGTTTATGATACGGTCTGTGTTTAAATCTATTTTTCAGATTATAATCTGTGTTACAGACCTAAAAGGGACACTTCCTTTCAATACCAAAAAAAAAGCAAACACCTAGAAATCACTGTTTGGCAGACATACCCCAAATGAAATTAGAGAATGGGATTTTGAAGTTGTTCTTAATCCTGTCTTTTGCACATTACCTGCTTGGTTTCTCTTATTGTGTATCTTGTTCTAGATACTTACACTCAGAACCCAGGAGGAAAGAATAAAAACTAAGAAAGTTGGTGCTCAAATACAGCCAACCCTGGCACGGAACTCTTCCTCTCCAGTAACTGCACGAGTAGTAAGTCACCAATTTCTCCTGGTCTGGTAAGCCAAAACATTTTTCAAATTTCATAAGGGCTTCTCTGAATTTTTCAGGATCTTCTTCTTTGACAAAGGAGCCCTTTCCTTCTTCAGCAATGAGACCCTTAAAAAAAAATAAAAAATTATTTTATCAACTTCAAAATAAAAAAACAAAAGGCATAAATGGAAAAACACTTTTTTTTTTTTTTTTTTTTAAGGAAATTGTCTGATTGCCAGACATTTACAGTCTGTTGCCTCATAACCACCACAGCCAGCTTTCAACATAGATTGCAGACTAAGTGGACGTATTTTTAACATGGAGACGTTTATTTCATAACACAATAGTTATGCTTTAAATGGCAATGGTTTTTTTTGTTTGTTTTTTTGTTTTTTAAAGGAGCAATAACGTGTAATAATGGTTTTCACAGGTTTTTCAACATTGTGAATTTTTAATGTACGGAACTCTGTAATGCATATCTATCCAATGTTCTTTTGTATACATGTTAAGTAGCAAATTTTTATAATACAGCATACATATGTAAAAGTTATGGGACTTACCTTTTGTGCATTTTACTGCAGCAAGAAGCCCTGCATTATAGATAATGACAACTACAGGGAAACACAGAAGAGAAAGAGGTGAAGACTGTGTTCTGATTGACTGGTGGTGTCACCCAATCAGAACAGAGCTGGAATTTAAATCATGGTCACTGACCAAAAAATGGCGGCCCCCAGTTTGCTATTAAATGCATACTTTTCGTAACAGAAGAAAAACAAAGAGGATAGGTTCCATAACTTTTACATATGTATATTCAGATCTTACTTCGCTCTTTCATCTCAATCTATATTATGAGACTTACGTAAGGCGTGCGATCAGAATTCTAAATAGGCATGCATCTGATAAATAGAAATAACCACTATCTAAATTAATGGTACTCATTTTATTGATTTCAGGAAATAAAAGCCTTTGAAGACCCCTGTTGCAAGCCCTTGGGCCTTGGCAAGCTTCACAGAGTGGGCTATACTAGTGAGAAGTCTCACCAGTTCTTAAATTCAGGTCACTACATTGATTTTTGTAAAAGCATTCTGTGTCGATACCTATGTAATTACAAGTACTTACTCTTATTTTTCCTTGAACAAAACTGGTTATATCATCACTTGAATCAAATACTGACAAAGTCTTCATTACATTTAGCTCTAGCCATTTCCAGTGTTTTAAAATGTCTTCTTTGTTGGCCCCTAAATGAAAAGAACATAAAAAGTGATGTAAAGCAACCAAATTTGATATCTTAGTATTCCTCTCAATGATTAACCCACTCTAGTCAAATACTTTCTACTAATGGTGTTTAATGTCAAGAATACAAACTTGTATTCCTGACACTATAGGTCTAAATAGTCCTACAGGTGACTGACCCTCCTGTAAAAAAGTTGATTTCACAAACCTTTCTCCAGCGCCATGTGGGTCTCCCTGGGGTTGTCCTTGCCCCTGCACTGCCCCCTTGGCAGAGAACATGAAACTTGATGATCTCAGCCAATCCAATGCTTTACCATAGGAAAGGCATTGTGACGCTGTGGCTTTACATTAAAAGGTCTGCAGGGACAGGTAGTAGACACCAGAAAAACTACATTAAGCTGCAGTTGTTCTGGTGACTATCGTGTCCCTTTAAGGCAAATGTAAAACAATAAAATATTAAAACCCAGCGAAAACATTTCTTCTTGAAATAATCTCCATGGCAACATGAAACACTGTCCTCATATGACATCCTACCTCCCACTCACTGATCTGGTTTCCACAAAAGAACAAGTATAAGACCAGAGGGTCCTGGGTGTGGGTGGATTTTGAGCTGCAGACTTTTATAGTACAATCCATGCACGAAGCCTCGTTAGCATGAGCATACTTATAACAGAAAAGTATTCTTTACTATAAAATAAAGGAGCATCAACGGTGGTACAGAAGAATATGCCTAACTGATTTGCTGGTCCAGGAAAAAGGAAACCTCAGGCAAATCGATGCAACCACAAGAGCTTTAAATGTCAGTGTACTATGCACTGTATTTGCTCCAAGATAACAGGCAGAAAGAAACATTCACACACACACATAGTAAAAATACAGAGCAATATAGGGAGAACAAGAAAGAGAAAAACAAAGGGGAAGAGGCTGAAACAAAACACACAAATCTGAGAGGACAGAATGGTAGAACAGCAAAGGGCAATGAAGTTGGGGTGGGGAGCAAAGTAACATCGGACAGTGAGCAGGAAAAGAAAAGGATAAGGAAAACGAGAGTAGAGGAGGAGGAGAAAGGGGGCAATAAAGAGGATGTGAACTAAAAGGGACATAGGTGTAGTAGAAAAATAACTATATAAAGTTGCTCATTAGATTAATGATCGCAGCACTGAAAAACGATCCTGAAAATTACAATAACAGTTATATGCAGAAGTGGAAAGAAAGGCTCAGTACAGGTTTTCATTTAAATGTCTGTGTTTTATGAGAGTGACCCACATTCTACCCATGTTTCTCAAATGTCTTTCTTCATTTATTGCCTGTTGCAAAAAAATAAAAATAAATAAAAGGTCTATTTTCTATTTTGTTGGATGTTTTTGGTGGAGTTTTTCAGGACTAAACGATACTTTTAGAAAGAGTGAATAGCGGATAATATTATATTTCAATTAAATCTTATGAATACACATGCTTTTAAAATGTCAAAACCATATATGCTTATGTTCAGGTTTGTATGTGTTTTTGTTTTTTCTAAAATGGACACTATAGTCACCAAAACAACTTTAGCTTATTGAAGCAATTTTGGTGTATAGATCACGAATCTGAAGTTACACTGCTCAATTCTTTGCCATTTAGGAATTAAATCACTTTTGTTTCTGTTTATGCAGCCCTAACCAGACCTCCCCTGACTGACACAGCTTGCATGGCAACCAAGTGGTTTCATTTTCAATCAGATGTAACTTACTTTAAAAGTTTCAGCTCCTGCTCTGTAAATTGAACTTTAATTACATACAGGAGGCTTCCAAAGGGTCTGGTCAAGCAAGCAATTAACAGAGAGGTAGATAAGAAATGCTAAATTAAACATAATTTGCAATAAAGGAAGTGTAAACATTAGATGGCTCTTTACAGGAAGTGTTTAGGAAGGCTGTGTAAGTCACATGCAGGGAGGTGTGACTAGGGCTGTATAAACAATGTGATTTTACTCCTAAATGGTAGAGAATTAAGCAGTGAGACTGCATGGGCATGATCTACACAAAAACTGCTTCATTAAGCTAAAGTTGTTTTGGTGACTGTAGTGTCCCTTTAAATATTTCAATATGAAATACAACAACATTATTGCAGTTTACAATGCCTTGAGTCATTGAAGAAGAATTAGATACACATATGTAATATAGGCAATATCAAAGTTGATATGATGTGTATATAAAAGAGTAGAAGTCAAGGATTTTAACATATTTAAAAGTTTTCAGTAATAGACTGTTTTGGCAATACAAACTTGCCCACCTACATATACACACACAAATTATGAAAAGCAGAAACATGAAAAATAATATCAAACAAAAAGTGTGCAAAACAACCTTTAACGGGGAAAAAAAAGGAGAGGTAGGTAGATGATGAAAAATTATATATGCATATGCGATAAATAAAAAAATGTAGGCATATTATAGATATTATACAGATAAAATACATGTAAACATGGTATAGGCATAATAAATTTGAGTTGTGTACTATGAGACAATCAGTTTTAGGGTTTGTGTTCCAGGATTTCACAAATTAAGGAGCAAACGTAAATTGTTGCATTGGCTTTGGCAAAGACTATTTAGGTTAATCCTCGGCAGACAATGAGACACAGTTCTCACTTTACAAGATATCATCAGACAGGATTATTTAGCAGGCCCCATACTGTGGCTTTATACATCCATAGAGAATGCACTTGCTAATAGCACAAAAAGTATTGAGAAAGAGAAGGGACAAAAAAAAAAAACCACAACAAAATAAATAATTAAATAACAAAAGAGAATTCAGACCCAATTTCACTTCACTGACAAGATCTCTACAATCAGAGAAGAGATCTCTCATCTTTATTCTTCCCCTTACAATACTTCCCCTAACTTCACTCCCTCTGCTGTTCTATGTTCATTCGCACCCGCTACATTGCAAGAGGTTTCTGCTCTGCTCCAGTCATCCCGTCCCACGACCTGCTCCCTAGATCCAATTCCCTCGCATCTCATCCGTACTCTGGCTTCTTCTCTTTCTCCACCTCTCACTAAAATTCTCAATCTCTCTCTCTCCTCTGGTATATTTCCATTGCCTTTTAAACATGCAACTGTAACCCCAATTCTAAAGAAGCCCAATCTTGACCCTAACTCCCCATACAACTATCGTCCTATCTCGCTACTGCCTTTTGCATCCAAGATCCTTGAAAAAAATTGTGTATGCGAGATTGACAGACTTCCTCAAGTCCAACTCTCTGCTAGACCCACTTCAGTCTCGTTTCCGCACTAAGCACTCTGTGGAAACGGCAGTGACCAAAGTATCCAATGATCTACTCGCTGCAAAATCTCGTGGTCACTACTCTATCCTAATTCTCCTTGACCTGTCTGCGGCTTTTGACACTGTTGATCATCAACAGCTTCTTCTCATCCTCCGCAATATCAGTCTATAAGATATTGCTCTCTCCTGGTTCTCCTCCTACCACTCCCAGCGCTCTTTCAGTGTTTCTTTCTCTGGCTCTGCTTCTTCTCCCCAACTCCTCTCTGTTGGTGTCCCCCAAAGTTCAGTCCTTGGTCCCCTACTGTTCTCCATCTATACTGCCTCCCTTGGTAAACTCATTAGCTCCTTTGGCTTCCAATATCATTTCTATGCAGATGACATGCAAATCTACCTGTCCTCTCCTGATCTCTCCCTGTCCCTCTTGACTAGTGTCTCTGACTGCCTCTCTGCTGTTTCTAACTGGATGGCTGCCCATTTCCTTAAACTAAACTTGACCAAAACTGAAATTCTGGTCTTTCCTTCCTCAAGTGTTGTTACTCCTGTGTCTGTCTCCCTCCAAGTCAACGGTGCTACCATCAGCTCCACCACACAGGCTTGCTGCCTAGGTGTTCTCTTTGACTCCGACCTCTCCTTTAAGCCTCATGTTCAATCTATCGCCAAATCCTGTTATTTCCATCTCAAAAACATTGCGCGCATCCGCCCCTACTTAACGCCAGATGCGACTAAGGTGTTGGTCCATTCCACTGTCCTTTCTCGCCTTGACTACTGTAATCCACTTCTCAGTGGTCTTACGTGCTCCCAACTTGCGCTGTTACAATCCATAATGAATGCGGCGGCGAGGCTCATCTTCCTTTCCGCCCGCACCTCCCATGCCTCACCCTTCTGTCAGTCCCTACATTGGCTTCCTATAAAATATAGAGCTCAATTTAAAATTCTGGTTTTTGCTTTCAAATCTCTACATAATGCTGCTCCCACCTATCTATCCTCCCTTATACACAAGTATGTCCCGTCTAGGCCCTTACGATCTGCTGAAGACTTACTGCTATCTTCTGTCCGTACTCCCACCTCTGATGCTCGCCTTCAAGATTTCTCGAGGGCTGCACCGTTCCTGTGGAACTCGCTTCCCTCCTCCGTTAGATGCTCACCCAGTCTCCACTCCTTCAAAAAATCGTTAAAAACCCACTTCTTCATAAAAGCGTATCAATTAAACTGTTAATAGCTCCTGACTGATTCCTCTTCTGCAACTGTTACTAGTCTAATACTATGCTTACTTTTTTGTGTCATTTTACCCCACTCCCTCTAGCATGTAAGCTCATTGAGCAGGGCCCTCAACCCCTCTGTTCCTGTGTGTCCAACTTGTCTGGTTACAACTACATGTCTGTTCATCCACCCATTGTAAAGCGCTGCGGAATTTGATGGCGCTCTATAAATATAATAATAATAATAATAATAATAATTATGTCGGCCTGCAGTTAAACATGTGGCTTTTGTTTAACATTTCTATCAATACAAGTAGAAGGCCTAGTCGAAATTCGGCAACGTGTTAGAAAATGTAAAATTAATACATTGATTTATTGTACGGTCATCTGACTAAATGAAGTCTAAAAAAAAACAAAAACACTAAAACAAAACAAAAATAGTATAATGCAAAAAGGGAGGGGGGAAAAAGGGGAAATTACAATAATATTCTTTTTAATGCACTAAAGATAATGCATTGATTTATAGCACTGTAAAAACACACTGACAACTCAAAAATGAAGAAAGTTACATACATTTTCCCTATCTATTCTGAGGCTCTCATGGTTCTCAGTTGGATTACAGAGAATAGTTCATAAGCCTTGCCCATGAGGAGCTCGAGGATTAGAAAGTTTAGCGGTCAACAGCAATTTCATTCATGAAAAGATATGAATAAACCTAGAGGCTCTAGTGCAGCTACTTTATTATGGTTCCTGCTATATTTTCAGGTTTGTATTAAACCACTGTATTTATTTATTTTGTTGCTAAATTAGCCTACAATGTAAACCTAGATTGTGAAGTCAAAGAGCTCACTGCTTAGAGAATAAACCTGCCTAAAGTAAAATTGTGGTTTTCCATGCTTAAGATTTCTTTTAGAGAACCATCAATATGGACAGCTGTTAGAAAGCCATTATTTCTACAAGATGAATGAGCTCTTACATTGAAGCTCTAAGTACAAAAACAGGGAAAATAAGGATCATAATTTGAAGTGTGTGTTACGTAACGTTGAAATATGTTTATTATGTGCTGCTTCTGTACGTTTGTTTTTTATAAATTAAGGCAATTTCATTAGAAGAACAAATAAGATACACGTTTTGGGTGATGCGTCACATTTTGTATGTTTTTTTTCCCCTCCATAATTTGAACTGTATGCTCTTACAACCTATAGAGCATAATAGTTTAAAGGAAAAAAATACAAAGATTATAAGGAGTACCATAATAGGTTGACATTAAAATGAGGAAGGAGGCTCTGAATTGCAAACAGAGGTTTGACACCTTTAACTTAACGGATCTGTCTAGGCAACATAACCATACCTGTTGATGTAGTGATTGTAGCCCCATTAGGACCATGTTGAAACCAAAAAGAGAAGGATTTGATATGTAATTTGGGTTAGATTTGACAGTTAAGCAGAATATCTTTGTGAAAGGAAAACAATATGTTTATCTGTGTTTCAACCAAGGTTATACCTAATCTTTCTAATTTCCTAATATAAAGCTTCCTCTAAAAATGAATAAAGGTAGATAAAAAAAAAAAGTCAGGTCAAGTCAAAAAAGCCACTAGAGGAGCTTCTGGGAGCTTACCGGAACTCTAGGCCATCTAAATGACGCTGGACATCCAGCATCAGTGAAAACTCCATAGGAAAGCATTGAGTCTATATTTTCCTATAGGGTTGGCCTAATGCACCTGTGGCGCTTGGCGCACATGCTTATTAAGTCCCCCCGTCGGATGAAGACGGTGGTGCGCCAACCCAGTGCAGAGGGACCTTGAATTGGGTGAGTAAATAAATGTTTTTTATTCCTTTATTGGCTATCGGTGGGACTTACTTAAGTCAATAACTATGATAGAGATACATTGAAATAGGCATTTGAGCTTTTGATTGCTGCATTTAGAGCAGGGCTGTCCAACCTGCGGCCCCCCAGATGTTGCTGAACTGCAACTCCCATGATTCCCTGGCTATCTGTTTAATTGAAAGAATCATGGGAGTTGTAGTTCAGCAACATCTGGGGGGCCGCAGGTTGGACAGGCCTGATTTAGAGTTAAGGCAGGCCTGAGCCCCTTAATGCTGGCTCAAAGTCTACCCATTCTAGTCTCTGATAGGGTTGTGCCAGATCACTATTTGAAAGTGGAAAAAGAGTTATGGATTTTTGATAATACTCACCACATGCTATAGACCAGTACACCTGCGAGTCTGGGGTTTGATGAAGAATCCGGAATGGTGCTACTTTAGCAGTAGAATCTAAAACAGCATCAAGTGTTCCAACAAGAAGACCTAACAAAAAGGACACAAACATAAAACAGGTTATCTTATACCAATTTAATACAAGAAATGTGTGACATGGCTTATTCAAGTAGACAAAAAAAATATAATGTTTTACTAATTGAATGTTGCATTTGAACCAAATATGGAACACAACTTAAGACAACAAGACTTAATTAATAATGAGTCTCTAACATTTGATGGACAGTCACCGCAAATTGCAGCGGAGATACAGAATAATGAAACATTTAAGGCAAAGGTTCCTTATTCAGTCTAATCACTCAGAGATAATGGGGTAGAGATACTTAAGTAAAGAAAGCTGTGGATTATTCTACTTTATCCACTAACTCTATTATCTACAAATCGCCTTTGTTATTGTGAACAATTCAGATTTTTACCTTTATATTACAGAAGCTTAAAAAAAAACTACAGAAAGCCTAAAATAACCAATACCAATCTGAATCTGACTCACAATTTGTATCTATTATAAGGGGTCTGTCAGAATGATTAAAGCAAAATTGCCACTTTTTATGGAAATTGCACCACTGAACAAAACACAGAAAACCACCCATACCTTGTGTTAACATATATTTAATTTACATTTAAAAGAGAAAAGTGTTTTGTATGAAAGTCTTAGCAACTGACATCACACTCCACTTCGGGCCAGGCACATCACAAATGTTTTCTGTTGTAAAAAGTGGTCTCAATTACTAAAAGGGGGGCAATCACAATGGAAAGAAAGTGAAATCAGAAGACATATTCCAATGGTCACTTTTCCAAATTCCATTTTTGCACAATGTGTAGAACAGAACAATTTGAAAAATCTATAGTTTTTGTTTCTCTACATGCAATGTTCAATGACAGAAAAGGGCAGAGCTTACAATGATTGAAGGGAACCAAACGGGAGGAGCACAGTTCTAGAAAACACCCGGGTCAGTTTCCACATTTGATTCGATTTTTCACATCTTGGAAACACATCTGTTAAAGGGATACTATAGTGCTAGGAAAACAAACCTGTATTCCTAGCACATCACTGTAAGGGTAAAAAAAAAACCTGACTGTACTTACCCGATTCCAGCGCTGATCTCCCTTAGCGTAGGGTTACCGATACACCTCCTAATGGGTGGAGGGGAGGTACGCTAGATAGGCCACATCTTACCAAGTAGTAGACAACATGAATGTTTCTAGATGTGCCACTACAAATCTCATGTTGTTTTGATTTTACAGATGGTTTACAATATATTAGACATTTTAACATGTGCATATATAGTTGGGCAATAAAGGTGCTTTAAATTTCTCAGTATAAAAAAACAGAAAGGAAGGATGACAGACCGTTGTTAAATTTGTTATTCAATATTTTAAATTTCTAATCTAAGAATAATGAAGATGAATTGAATGATATATCATTCATTTGACTATAGATAAAACCACGATTGCCAGATAAAATTGCTGAATGTTTAAATGGTGAGTGATATTGTAATGAAGACTCAGATGAAGAGCAACCGATCTATCGAGAGAACAAACAATCTCAGTCTCCAACTTTAAAAATGGGTCATGGATAACATAGCCTCAGAAAGTACAGTACGGATAGGGTGTGAATGAATACAGGAAAGAATGAACTTTAAAGGGGACATTATAGTCACCAGAACAGCTACAGCTTATTGCATTTGTTCTGGTGAGAATCATTATCTTCAGGCTTTTTGCTGTAAACACTGTCTTTTCAGAGACAATGCAGTGTTTACATTACAGCCTAGTGATAACTTCACTGGCCACTCCTCAGATAGCTGTTTGAGATCCTTCCTGGGTCATGGCTGCCTAAAATGCATCCAAACATTCAGTGTCTCCTCCCTCTGCATGCAGACACTGAACTTACCTCATAGAGATTCATTGAATCAATTCATCTCTATGAGGAGATGCTGATTGGCCAGGGCTGTGTTTGAATCATGCTGGCTCTGCCCCTGATCTGCCTCCTTGTCAGTCTCAGCCAATCCTGTGGGGAAGCATTGTGATTGGATCAGGCCACCACTTCTGATTATGTCAGCAGGCAGTGGGCAGGTCTAAAGGAAACAGGAACAAACTATGCAGATGCCGGCCTGAATTCAAGTAAGATTTTACTTTATTTTTAGTGGCATGAGGGGACCAGGGTGGCTAAATGGTGGTTTTAACCTTATAGGGTCAGGAATACGTTTGTGTTCCTGACCCTATAGTGCTCCTTTAAGCACAATTTGAGCTGACTTTATTGAGATTTTTCAGTAAAGTCATAATTCAAAGGACAAAATAGCTAAACTGGAAAAAAAAACAGCTTAGCTACTGTGGCCTTAAATATAAATTCAATATAAATTCTAACTTTAATGATTAAACCTGTTTATCACGCGTAGCCCATTGGATCCAGGTTTGATAACCCAAAAGCAAATTCCTTTCATCAAAAATGCAGGGGTGGATTTTCGCTCTGCCCACTTCCCATGAAACATCCACTTGCTTATAGAGCAGGACCTTTCCCAACATAACATTACCAAATTGAAAGCCCTGGTTAGTTGCACAAAGCATGTTACACAGCAGAGACCTTGATTGGAATACAAGGTTATAAAGTGTGCACTTCCTGACAAACCAGATGGAAAGCAAGGTTCAACGATTAACCTGTGTACACGCCAATTTGTTGCAACTTTCTCTACAAGCTTAGAGGCTTGAAAACCAGAGTCCAAGTTCTCCTCTCATCCTCCTTGGCTGACATCATTCACCTTTGCCGCAGAAGGTGGGAGCTTAGGGTGTAAGGGGAAGACAAGGCAGGCATGTTGGCATCAGATGCCAATTTGGTACTGAATTCACATTTGCCAGCTCAGAACTTTCCTCTAGACTGGCTAATAACTCTGCCGGACGTGGAGTTACCTCTCTGCCGGCTAAGGGGTTAATGAAACAATTTAGTCACCCAGACCAGTGGTCTGTCATTTTAACCCTGCAATATAATCATTGAGAAGGAATGGATGGGAGGAGATCACAATGACATAAGAAATCCACAGAAATGCAGACATCTTCAAAAACTGAGTGTGCAGCTGCAGCTGTGGACTCCTTGCGCTGGAAATGAGGTGAGTAGTCTTTGTTTTACCTATTTCTTTAATAGCAGAGAGGGTGGACAGAAATTAACAATTTTTATTTTCGGGACTATAGGTTCCCTTTCATCTCAGTATGTAGAGCATTTCACAGCAAAATCAATTACCTAGTCATGATGCTTGGATTAACCTTTTTACCATTTTAGTTTTAAAAGAACACATAGGGTCAGGAACACACACATGTATCCCTGACTCTATTGTGTTAAAACCACCATCTAGCCCCCCTACCTCCCTTGTCTCCCTAAATATAGTAAACTCTTACTTGTATTCAAGTCTGCTGCTGCTGCTGCAGCACTGCCCCCAGGAGGCACCTCTAACAGCCACTGCAGCCATGTGAGGAGTGGCCAGTGGAGTTATCACTAGGCTGCACTGTAAACACAGTGTGTACAGCAAAAAGCCTGAAGGAAATTATTCTACTCACCAGAATAAATATAATAAGCTGTAGTTGTTCTTGTGTCTATAGTGTCCCTTTAAGTAACGCACGATTCCTTCCTAAGGATCCTGAATGTCGAAGAATAACTGAAAATGTACAGTTTTAATGCAGAAACTGTATTTACTATATGAATGACCAGCTATTGTTCACATAAAAACATAAAAAGAATATCTTTTTTTTCCTCCCAGTTTTTCCTCTTCTTTTCGCTACTTATATGTGCACTATGATTTTTACATTTTTGTGAGTCAATTTACCCTTAAACAATTTTCCGATGTGAAAAATAAATTTAGTTTTTTTTTTTACTTTTTGTATTAGATATGTTTTGTACCTCTTGCATTTCTTAAAATAATTCTTAAAGAATGTCATAAGCAAGAATTCCATGCAGGAAGCTGGTTTTCAGATAAATGAAACTTGTCGTGATAAAGACCAAATTGGTTGGTACACTGATGTGAGAGGGCAACACTCGAGGGTTTTTATAATATATATATGTATATAGTGATGGACCATTTGTTTACTCTTGGATTTTGTGACATTGAGGTTTCTGCTCTATTCTGCCGTACTTGGGTGAGTGCTTGATGCCTTTCACAAAATATACTAGAAGAAAGCAACTGCAAATACCATAACAGAGATATGACATTTTGATTGTGTATTTTAGATTTGAACTGATTACAGCATGGCTCATTAGACGTATCTATATGTAAAAGCTTGTACTTGACATAGGGGCTACCCACTTATACACCAACGCACTCATCAAAAATGAGGCTTGACTCCGGCACTTCCCAACCCGCAAACCTGTGACTAATTGGCGCAAAGAACCACCACAGGCCGTACAGCCTACAATAATAACTACGTCGGCTGAGCAGACCACTCATGCTCATAACCTTGATTACGGGAGGATTCCCTGGCATGGCTCTCACTTAAGAGCCAGACCACATAGACGCTTAGGCGACAGTGTACACAATCTAACAGTTAAGCAGCTTACGCATATACCCAATTTACTGTGTCGAAATGCATGTATGTACCAATCCCCCCTGTATTCCCTCAGGTTCTGCAAAATTCTGCGGATGTGATGGTTATGTAAAATGCTGAAACCTTGTATCCCCCCGCTAACATACCCTTTTTCCTTCTGTACCCCTGACCACATATTGAAGAAATAATAAAATACAAATCTGAAAAAAAAAGCTTGTACTTGAATACAAAAGGCACCATCGCTAACCAATGAGCAAAATTCTAAACATTATCCTCAACGACTGCGGATGAGAATTGTGGAGAATTTAGAAGACATCTACAAATTGTACGCGAAACTAACCAAACTGGAAAGTATGGCAACTAGCTTTATGTCTGTCTGCAGTCATGTAGGCTGGGGTCTGGCGCCATCTGGCTTTATAGCAGGGTTTCCTAAATTTGAACCCCCAGGTGTTAATGGAATGCAATAATCCCTGTTTTATTCCAATGGAGATACTGACAAAACCTGGACTGTTGGTGGTCCATGAGGACAGGGTTGGGGAACAATGAATTACATAATTCATGATGCTCTGCCAGCATTGTGGCTGTAAGAGAATCATGGTAGATATAGGGTTGGTATTATACCTGCACATATAGTATTTAAGGTAGTCTGGCCAGTGCTGGCATTGTTTGACAGGACTTTTAGGAGAATGGTGAGAGAAATGGAGCAAAAATATCAACCTCTATTATACAGGCAGGTACACAGAATAACATACACATACATAGCAGTCACACAGTTACATACACTCAGGCACACATTGTTATAGACACACGTAGACAAAGTATACACACAATGACACACACTCAGACAATTGTACAATGACACTGTTGGATAATGATATACTACTATAAAGACACTCATTCAGATAGCATACACAGGGAATTTCCCCTTTGCAAAACATTTTTTCGATAATGTCACTCCCTGAGACGTTAACTAACATTACGTGATGTTGTGCCCTGTGATGTCACTCATATAATTAAATTATGTACATAACCACGGTCAGTATTTTTTTTTGTGCCAAAAATGGTAGCAACCCTAGGTAGATGTAGCCCCCAACAGCTGGAGTGCCGAAGGTTGCCCACCCTTGGTTTAGGGCTTATAAAATATAAATCATAAAGGCGTCAATGGAATTAAAAATGTGAAGATTTCAGGATGAAATCTGACAGAAAGGTAATGGGGATATAAAGGAAAATTAAAATATCCAAGGTGAAAAAACTAATCAAGCTCAAGGTTTAAAGGACCACTATAGTGTCAGGAAAACATACTCGTTTTCCTGGCACTATAGTGCCCTGAAGTTGCCCCCACCCTCAGGGTCCCCCGCCCGCCGGACTGGATGGCGAGGAAAGGGGTTAAACTTACCTTTTTTTCAGCACCGGGCGGGGAGCTCTCCTCCTCCTCTCCGCCTCCGATCCTCCTCTTCGGCTGAATGCGCATGCGCGGCAGGAGCTGCGCGCGCATTCAGCCTGTCTCATAGGAAAGCATTTACAATGCTTTCCTATGGACGCTGGCATCTTCTCACTGTGATTTTCACAGTGAGAAGCACGCAAACGCCTCTAGCGGCTGTCAATGAGACAGCCACTAGAGGCTTTAGAGGCTGGATTAACCCATTTATAAACATAGCAGTTTCTAGAGGGACCTGGCACCATGCCAACTTCATTAAGCTGAAGTGGTCTGGGTGCCTAGAGTGGTCCTTTAAAAACAACTAATTTGACAAGATATAAGGTTTGAATTGACCAGATAATAATATGCATCTTCTGTGTTATCAGACATAAAGTCCTTCCATCCCACACAGCAAGCGTTTAGTGACATCACTGCAGTCTCAACTAACAGCAGACTGTTAAATTATTCAAGTAATGCATTAATCTTACATTCATAGCCCGTGTGGGCAGAAATGCTGATTTTTGTATATTTATGATATTACTGCTACCCAAGCTTCCATAAAAATAACAAAGCATATTAAGAATTCACATTAAAATTGACTAAAAAGGTTATTTTTATCAGGTATGGGCACCCTGAAAGGAGCACACAATCTCAAATGACTAAACATATTGTTTTATCAGAATGGACTCATTGTAGGTGGCTTATTTGGTTTAGTTATTGGTTTTATTTGATTTACATTTCTCATTTATGATGCCGTAAATATACTGGAGGGACAAATGACATGGAATGTAATGGTCTGGTTACCTTGACATTACTCTGTAAACATCTTTTTGTTAATTCAAAATGCTTGTGTATTTGATCAATTGTCTTTTTCAAAATAAAATGATGAATTGGAAAAAATAACACATATTTATATGCAAATGCTAGGGTATATATGCCACTATACACTGTTGAATTGGATGTGTCACCTAGCCACAGGTCGGCCCATGTCTGCATTTGACCTAATTTTTTAAGTCTGTGAATGAAAATCAGAGAAGGTCACTTTTAGCAAATCTACTGAATTCAGCATGCCTTATGGCATATCAGCAGGAATTTAATAACCTGCAGCCCAGCAAACAAAAAATACTCTAATGCACTTATGGACATATAAATAGAACCCTTTAACTTTTCGGGACTTTTGCCATCTGTCAATTCCACAACTACCATTAACCCTAAAGATTTTGGGATTATCACAATCTGGTCTCGAATGCCTGTATTTTGGTATGGAATGCCCTGCTTATTTAATTTGACTGATCCATGCAGCGTTTAATTATGTGGGTCATTCCATTTTTTTTTTTAATAAGTTCCTTTCAAAACCAATTCTTATGATGACATACACAATGGTCATTAAGGGGTTAAAAATATTATTATTATTATGTAATTATATAGCGCCATCAAATTCCGCAGCGCTTTACAATGGATGGACGAACAGACATGTATTTGTAACTAGACAATTGGACACACAGGAACAGAGGGGTTGAGGGCCCTGCTCAATGAGCTTACATGCTAGAGGGAGTGGGAGATTCATATGAAATATCAATAAAATGCAATAGAAAGCCCAAACTTTACCCTGTCAATCCTACGAGGAAATTGGATCTATTTTATAGATCGATAAAAAGATATAGGTTTGTTGAATGATATATAATGTTGTGTGCGGCAATTTAAAAATTGTATGGCACGTTTTGCCATCCAACTGACCCCCACAGGATTAATACATTCCAAATGCACATCTAATTAGAATCTAAAACAAATTATCAGTACTTTACTCTTTATTGAAGACGTGGCATCTCATTCCTGTAAACTTTCTCATGAAGTTGGGACCTGGCTACAAATTAATCTGCACACAAACTAGAAATATATATATATTTTTTTTAAACGACAAGAATACGTGCCAGCGGCTGGCAGACTCACACTTTATCACTGCCAATCTATGCTGAATGCCTGCTGCTACCAACAGTTATATAGGCACAACATTAGCATTCTGTGTTCTCTGTCTGAACCACCCACAGCATCTACTACTGAAAACAAAGTTATACTATTTGCCAACTGAGAAAGCCAACAAATAAAAAAACAAAACAATCGCTTTTGCGTCTATAGAAATACTATGTTACAGTGAAAGGCGATCAACGGTGGGGAGTTCGATGAATTCACAGTTAAGGGCTGTCAATTATTAGTCTCTAAGCACAGTCCAAATTATATTCAACGCTTGTTTTGTGGTCTGTCTGTTAATACGCCTTTTATAAAGTGTGTTGCCACTTTAACAATTATTCTTTTTCTTATATACAGCTCAATGTTAATTGGTAGCTGAAGAGCACTACATGAAAAAACAGCAAGATGAAGCACTGAAACATACTGATACTTTTTTTGTCGGTTAAACGCCACAGTCATCTTAAAGGGACAAACAGGCCCCTACTGATCTACTGGCAACTCTGCAATTTGTGACTCCTAGTGATATATAGATTAATGCAGCCATTGTTTCACGTTCTTCATTATGTTATTTTGCAGCTTGATCATCCTTACAGAAAGCTGTGCGATTATAATGTGTTGGATGTGTTCTTTTTTTTACAATGTTCACATACGTTAATAACTATCAATTACATTGGAATGATCTAATAAGAAATCTCTCAACGTGTGTTAAAATGTTTTACTTCTATAGTGGCTGTGGTGTATTTCAGAAGTAATTTTCTGTAAGAAAAATTGATACTAGGGATAGTTCAATAAATTCAAAAACAAATGCATTAGCAGCAGCAGGATCACCAGTTATTTTACCAAGGCGGCTGCCTAGGGCTCTGAGCGGGCCCTCCTCAAGCTCACAGGGAGATCAAAAGATCCCTGCACAGAACTATCTCTCACTTAACAGAGGGAGCATAGTGGTCAGTACCAATATCAGGTACAGAAACCTCTGAGGGCGCCATCGCAGTGCCCCAGCGCATGTTAATGATTCAGAGGGCCAAACCACAAGGGCACTCTTAAAGTGATCTGCATTCAATATTGGTGACGATTACAAGGCTCCCCACCAGACCACCAAGTATCCAGCTCACGCTCCTCTAGACCACCAGGGAAGGTAAGCGGGGGACATGCAAACAAAACACTAAGACTCCCTTACACCCAGAATTCAGCCACCACACAAATAATTTTCAACTAGAACCCACATTCAGCCTCCCAACATGCAGCTATTACCTGTCACCACACACACAACAGTCAACCACCATTTATCATTTAAAAAGTGCCTCAAAGTCCATCTCTTTAGGAAAGCTTATGGCCTCCCAGAGTGACCTCTACCTCACATAGCTGTCTCTTGTTCTCTTCTAAAGGGGAGCACTCTATTATCTCCACCTTGTTTGATTGCTACCTCCTGTCCTGTTGGGTTTTACGCCCCACCTCCTATAGACTGTAAGCTCTTTTGAGCAGGACCCTCTTCAACCTGTTGTTCCTGTAGGTATTTGTAATTATCTAATTTATTGTTAAATCTCCCCCTTTGATAATATTGTAAAGCGCTATGGAATATGCCAGTAATAATAATAACCACCACACACACACATACATAGACATCACTCACAGAAACAGAGCCCGGGACTCTTAAAGGAGGGCCCCAATTTGGAAGCCTGCCAATGGCCCTGGGCAACCTTAATCTGGCTCTAATTAGCAGGACAATTTACTAGAAGCCAAAATATGGATTGAAAATGTGAGAAGTTCACAATATTTACATTTAGCCAAAGTATAAAAAAAAAGAAAACACAATTAAACTAGATAAATAATCCTGTTCCTCACTTATTTATGCTATATTAGGGTTTAACAAACACAGAACCATCCCCCTGGTCCTAGAGGAGGAGGGACTATTAATAGGTCACCAGGAAAAACTAAAATCCATCAGACACCAAAATGAATTTAATATGCATATTTAAAGGCAATATCTGATTTTTTTTTTTTGTAAATATCCATATAAGCCAACTCTCCTGCAAAAAGAGGGACCCAAATCTGTGGAATACCAGAGAATTCCCTTAACAGCACAAGAACCTCATTATACCAAACTTGGGCTGCAATAAAGCCAACGCAAGGTGCCTTCTACCAAGCGACAATGCATCTCTTTCTAGTGTGAATTGGTAAGGATTTAGATGTGGTTTATACTGTAGGGTTTATTTACTGAACACCAAATTATACTGAACTTAAACCAAAACAGCAAAACTGAGGTTAAGCTGTAATTATAGCCAAGTTGCAGTTTCTAAAATCTGCTATTTGAGTCTAGATGCAATTCGGTGCTATTCGAAATTTTGTGAATTGTTGTGATGAGCATTTTAAAGTGAATTTCAAACGTGTGATCCAAATAAACTGGTTAGGGAAATTCTGCAAGTCATCTATGTTTTTTTTCAAGTTTGCCTACAATGGTCTAAATTTTAAAATTGTGTTGAATTTCTATAAATTCAAACTTTAGCGGATAAAGTACGTTTTATAGCAAAATATTGTAACAAGTTTTTCTATAAATAAATCATTGTTTTAGTGCTGTGAGAAGCAGGACAGGGAGAGAATGACCTGATCGTACCAGTTTTCTATACTTTGTATGCCTACAGGAGCTCTTGCTAGAAGCCTGCCCTCCTCCCCTCTCTCTCTCTCTCTCTCTCTCCTACCTAGCACAACCAAGATAGCAATAGTGCCAAAGTAGGTTTGATCTTCCATCCAGATTATTTATTTAAAAAAAAAAAAATCCACACAGAACTATGACTATCTTTTGCTATAAAATGATCTGTGTTATTCATAACACCAATATTATATTTTATTATGAATAGAAAACATAATGCAGAACTGTCTCCAGCTCACAAGTATACCTGACATTTTATTTTATATTATTTTTATGAACCAGTCACATACTGCAAAAGTTAACAAGCACTATTCTATTAACTATGAATAGAATATAAAATTAAAAAATGAGACAGCCAGGTGTGCAAACAGACCGGTAGGTATATAGTGTAATTCATCTAATTGAAATGGTTATGGTGCCTGAAGTCCCCTGGTGTTGCCGCACTATTGTCACAAAGATTTCAATGGATTTGACAATGAGTGAGGGACCCAAGGCTCAGGAGATGGGCTGAGCTGCAAGAAGATCTTCATTCAGTATCAAACTGTTCAAAAACCATTTCAAGCAGATCTGTCAATTTTTCAAATGCCCACAGCCCACCTTCCCCCCCCCCAAAGATACAACATTCCTTTTCCAATGTTGGACCGCCATGTCTTCCCTACTGGCGCTGCTGTCTTTGTTCCTAAGATGGAGGCACAGAGAATTTCATATTCTGCACATCCTAAGGGTGTGTTTGTCAAAAATGTGCACACCTAAGTCCTCTGATGGGCTTGTGTTGATTCTCGCAAGACTCAACACTGAATGCCAGTAATGAGTTGCTCCCAGAAGTGACGCAACGCTGGAAGGAGGTGAGTACAGCCAATGACAAAGTTGACAAAGGCCATGGAGTTTCACCAATCACCCTTCAGGTTATACATAAGGAAAAGTAGTCCCTACTTGTCCTTATGTATAACTTTAAAAATAAAAGGGGGAATTAAAAAAATAAAGAAAGGAAGCTGAAAACTGGAGGGGATGGGGGGGCTTGAAACATGTCAACATTAAACAAAAAGAAAAAAAGGACAGATCCGATTTAACACTGAACAGTTGGACAGTGCGGTGGGGCCTGCATGCATTACCCCAATTCCAATTAGATAAAGTGGTTATGGTGTCAGGAGTTTTCCTGTGTTCCTTTAAATCAACTACAGCAAAGAAAAAGGATAAGAAAAATACAGCAGATCTAGCAGGACAAAAACTATCCAATGAGCTTAAGTAGTGTTTGAGCCCACTGAGTCCAGTTGACAGAATAGTGTCACTTCAACAACCAACTGCAAGAAGCCTATTTTACATTCCATTCCGCCAACAATCAATCAAATGATGCTGAAGAGGACAATGATGTCCTATTTTTTCTTCAATTCATTCTTCTACGCTTTTAGTGGAGTAAAAAAAAAATTATTATATATATATATATATATATATATATATATATATATAAAAAAATAACCAACTTAGTATGCATTTATATAGGTTTTAAAGCAAAACCTATAGGGAAAAAAACCATAAAGGTAATGCTAAACTTCTAATATCTGCACATACAACAAATAATCTATAATACCAATAATAAATTACCTATGTATATTATTTCCAGCCAAACATGAGGTTAAAAATTAACTTTTCAGTACGGACAATGTTATTAATAGACAATATAGCCATAGTGCCTGTTGGAGGGTAAAGGGTGCACACATGCAATAACACAAGCATGGACTACAATACCATAATATAATAATAATAATAATAATAATAATATAATAATATAGTGCAATACAATGTGATATTAGTAACATGATATTAACCCTGTCAGTGCTGTTATTTTGGAGGTTATTAACTCTGTGTGTGCCATAGCCCATATTGCAGTAAGAGCAATATACACTGTGTATATATATTTATATTTTTTATTTTTTTTAGCGGGGTGGTTACCTGTCAGACCCCCTCCCTCCTCTCCATACCCCCTCCTCCTCTGCAGCACGAAGTAAGGGTTGGACTCCTCGGTCACCCATAGCTTCAAGGCGTTCTTTAACAAGACCTCCTCCGGTCTCAGCCACATCTTGTCTCATCTACCGGGCTCATCTCTTCCTGCCCATCCCGGCCGGGCTCCGCCGACACGTAAGCAGCAAACCTGCCAGGACTAAAGGGAGTCGCTGAGGAACGCCGGGGGCTGTAGTTCTGCGCTCTGGTGTAACCAATGGGAGCCGCGGCGGTGACGGACTACATGTCCCGGAATGCATTGCTTCACGTTAAAGTAGTGGGTTCTGTCCAGCTGTTCCAAGGACTTGGAGTAAGGGCAATGCATGGACCAGGGTGACTTCACAGGAGGGATGAAGGCTTACACATTGCAGATGTCAGAACTACATTTCCCGTGATGCTCTGTCTCAATGTCTTATATATAAAACAATTACCATTTGTTTCTGCTGTCATCAGGTGTGCCATCAGAAATGTTGGTGCCCCTTACACAGTCCGCCTACAAGGATGTAGTGTGTGTGTGTAGTGCATACATAGTGTGTATGTAGTGGACGCAGTGTGTGTGTAGTGCATACATAGTGTGTATGTAGTGGACGCGGTGTGTGTGTAGTGCATACATAGTGTGTATGTAGTGGACGCGGTGTGTGTGTAGTGCATACATAGTGTGTATGTAGTGGACGTGGTGTGTGTGTAGTGCATACATAGTGTGTATGTAGTGGACGCGGTGTGTGTGTAGTGCATACATAGTGTGTATGTAGTGGACGCAGTGTGTGTGTAGTGCATACATAGTGTGTATGTAGTGGATGCAGTGTGTGTGTAGTGCATACATAGTGTGTATGTAGTGGACGCAGTGTGTGTGTAGTGCATACATAGTGTGTAAGTAGTGGATGCAGTGTGTGTGTAGTGCATACATAGTGTGTATGTAGTGGACGCAGTGTGTGTGTAGTGCATACATAGTGTGTAGTGGATGCAGTGTGTGTGTTTAGTGCATACATAGTGTGTATGTAGTGGATGCAGTGTGTGTGTAGTGCATACATAGTGTGTATGTAGTGGATGCTGTGTGTGTGTAGTGCATACATAGTGTGTAGTGGATGCAGTGTGTGTGTAGTGCATACATAGTGTGTATGTGGTGGATGCAGTGTGTGTGTAGTGCATACATAGTGTGTATGTAGTGGACGCAGTGTGTGTGTAGTGCATACATAGTGTGTAGTGGA